AAACAAGCCAGCATAGTACAGAGCCTGCTGTCCTGCTGTTTTACGTTGTTCCTTCAATCTTGCATCCAACTCCAGAATAGCATCTCGATCTGAAAAGGTTTTGATCAGAGCTCTTGTTGAAAGCCCCTCAAGACATTATAAAAGAACAGCATGTAAACCAAAGCAAACACTGTTTCTGTACTGTACATTGATAAACATGCAGACAATCCCACCCAATTAGTAATATTTAACAGGTACAGATGGCAAAGGCAGAAGAGAGTTCCCAACAACATGGCTGATGGGGAGGTCCCAGAAGTGGGGAAGTCCTAGATGACTGGTGGATACCCAACCTGATGTCCATCTAGAAGGGCAGGAAGGAAGATCTGGGAAACTACAGGCCTCTCAAGCTGATCCTGGTACCAGGGAAGGTCACGGATCAGGTTACTGAGTGCTATCACACAGCACCTACAGTACACCCGGGGATCAGACCCAGCCAGGCACTGGGAAAGGCAGAACCTGCCTGGCCAACCTGATCTGCTGCTATGACAATGGTGGCCCACCTAATGAATGAGGGAAAGGCTCTTGCTCTCAGAGTCTTGAGATCCACAATAATTTTGCTATCCTGCAATATTAATCCTCAGGGACTCAAGTAAGAGTAATGCCATTCATCAGAGCTGTTTCACATCAAACTGTTTTAACAAACTGTCAGCAGCAGCTATAAACGTCCATAGCGAGAAAGATACTGCAGCAATACTTTTAACAACCACTCAATGTACCTGATAAATCTACTTTACCTAACAAAATTATTCCAGCTTTTAGGCTGGAGAAAGGAATACAAAAACTTGCAAAATTCTTTTCTACATTTGTATAGTCAGGATAACTTAAAAGATAGAAATGGCATGGCTTTAAAGATTTTTCAAGCTGCAATTCTACTGAAAAATACCAATATCAGACATGAGTGAACAACAATCACAAGAAGCTTGATTCAATCTTTTTCTTCCTTCAAAGATCCTTCATCCTGGCAGATAAGTCAGATTTTGTGTGTGGGTGTGTATGCGTTTTATTTTAACATTCACTCTTATGCTTCAGTTTAGTGGCTTGGTATTTTTGTTTACAATCTTGGTAAGCGTTACTCAATTCAGTAATAGATCCTATGTCAAATGCAAAGCCAGAGTAAACCTTTTTAACTTAGGCAGAATTAGCCTACAACTCTCAGACCTTCACACAGAGCTGTTTAAAACATAAAACAGAATGTTTTAATAGGCATACCTGGATTAGGGCTCTTTTTATGGGCATAAATCAGAGCCATCATTGTACAAAGCGACACCTCTGGTTTGTTTTTAATAGACTCCAACTGTCGAATACTTTCTTGGACATCACCTAGTAAAAAAAAAGCACAGAATAAGCTATAACACCTTTCAAGACAAAGAATATAATCATCAAACATCAATCGGACTTAAATTTTCCCTTCTGCTTTTTCTTCTATGCTTTTGTTCCTTATGTATATACCTACTTTAACTTGTTTGTGCCAGTATTTCGAACAGACACAGGAAATAAAATAGCATCTCAATGCAAAGAACTTCAATTATGCCAACTAATTCTGTGCTAATTCTGCTAACTGAAAGATTAAAATCATATTTATTGTTTTATACATGGCATTGAACAGCTCTTTTTGCTTCTGTTTCTTTATATAACCAGTATTTTTGTGTGACTATTATTTGTGTGACTATTTTATTTTGAAAATTAGCAAATTAGCCAGTATCTTGAAAAATGACAGGATTCTTATATAAGAACACCTTGGAGTTTGGGTATAGACACACTCCCTCAAATCCAGCACACCTTCCTAGACTTAGCCCTCCCCATGTTGGGTTATTTGTTAATATTTCCGACATCCTTGGAATATACATGTCGCTCAATAAACTTCTCAGAACAGTATAATTTACACCTACAGTATAATTTACAGTATAATTTACCCCATTAGGTATTAGCTGTCAGTTTCCAGGAGACAGAGGATTCAACAAAACTAACACAGCTGCTTTGAAGGGAAGAGCTGTTAGCTGGAAGACACTAGTGAGTTTCCGATCAAATGCAATATGCGTTTGGGCAGGCTCAAATTCCCTCCAAGTAACCCATTTACCTGACCCTTGGTCATGAAACCACGAAAAAGAAAATCACTTGCTATTTCTCACTTTGGTACGATGCTGCCTAGATCAGTTTCACTCAAACTGGAGCGGGACAGATGATAACACACCGACAATTCACTCAACAAGGAATGCATTCAGACTCCGCAGCATCGCAGCGGACTCAGGCTGGGTTCTGGGAGGCGAGGCAAGGAAGCGCTGGGGAGGGAGCGCGGCCCGTGCCGTTACCTGTGCTCAGCGCCGTTACCGGTGCTTAGCGCCGTTACCTGTGCTCAGCGCCGTTACCGGTGCTCAGCGCCGTTACCCGCCCTCAGCGCCGTTACCGGTGCTTAGCGCCGTTACCCGCGCTCAGCGCCGTTACCCGTGCTCAGCGCCGTTACCTGTGCTCAGCGCGCCGTTACCCGCCCTCAGCGCCGTTACCGGTGCTCAGCGCCGTTACCCGCGCTCAGCGCCGTTACCCGCGCTCAGCGCCGTTACCTGTGCTCAGCGCTGTTACCCGTGCTCAGCGCCGTTACCTGTGCTCAGCGCCGTTACCTGTGCTCAGCGCCGTTACCTGCCCTCAGCGCCGTCACCTGCGCTCAGCGCCGTTACCGGTGCTCAGCGCCGTTACCTGTGCTCAGCGCCGTTACCCGCCCTCAGCGCCGTTACCTGTGCTCAGCGCCGTTACCTGCCCTCAGCGCGCCGTAGGCCCGGTAGAAGAGGAGCACGGGGTCCACGCCCAGCCGCGCCAGCGCCTCGTCCGCCGCGGCGCGGACGTGCTGGAAGAGCCCCTCCTGGCAGTAGTAATTGAGCAGCGCCTGCGAGCAAGCGGCCACGGGTCATCGGTGCCGACGGTTCGCCCCGGGACACCGCGCTCACCGCCCCACCCCGCCCCAGCCCGGCCTCCCGCAGTTCTGCCCGGCACCCCGGCCGCTCCCATCCCTCCCTCCTTCCCCTCCGCGGGCGGGACGGCGGTGGCGCCCACCTGCTGCACCTCCGCGTCCATCGTCGCTAGCCGACGGCACTACAGGCGGACTCCGGAAGGGTGAGGACGGCGTCCTGCCATTGGCTTGGGCGGGAAGTAGGCGGGAGAGACACGGGAAGGGAAACTCCTGGAAGACGGCGGGGCGGGATCCCGCGGCCGGGCCCGAGGCAGCGGCGGGAGCTGGCGGCGCCTGGGCGCCCCCTGCCGGCGGGCAGGCGGCCGTGCCTCGGCCGGAGTGCCGCTGGGAAACTTTGGGGATGTGTTTGTTTTCCTCGCGTGTCGTGGCTGAACGTGCGACTACGCGGCCCACGTTCCGTACGTTTCATAATGTAACTGAGCACTGCAAGTCATGTGGCACTTCTCTGAGAAATACAATAGCAATAGGGTCAAGTCAGATAGAGAAACTTCTGTTCCCCTCCCACACCCCCCTCCCCCCTTACCTCCTGGAGCATCAGAGTTGCAAAGAGTAGTGAAATTAGGGTTTTCCTCTGAAGGTGAAAGCATCCTCAGACACAATTTCTAGACACCAGAAACGAAGGTTGCTAAAGAGCATTCCTGTGGAATGGGAGAGCAGTCCGTCCACCAGGAATGCGGGCAGTGATGCCACCAGGGACAAGGAGTGGAACCCAACCTGCACGGAGTTTGTAGGAGAAGCTGCTTGGCTCTTCTGGCAGAGAATACTCAGAGTGACCTTTCCTAGCAAGGTGCAGTTCCTTTGTCACAAGTTCTCACCCCCAGCAGCAGGAAGGTGCCAAAGAAGCACTGTGCACTTAGCATCCTTGGTTTTCTTGTTGGCCAAAACAATCCTCTGATTTTCCTGCTGTGTTTATGTTCTGCTTGTCTTGTTCTGAAGCAAGATTTAGGCTTCTGTAACATTTAAAACCTATTAGAGGTATGAGAAACAAGTTGGGGTTTTTTACATACTTTTAAAGGTAACCATTCTAAGACATATTCTGTCCACATATTAATCTGAAAATACTTATATGTTCATTTTGATACTTAGGCATTTTGAATCAAAGCTCTAGAACCCTTTTTTCATAATGTATCTCACAACAATTTTACAGAGAAAAATTTCCTTCACTTGAAAAATTATTTATGAATTTCAGGGAAAATGCTATTTTATTTCTGCATTAGCCACTAAGCAAGCATACAGACTACAGCTGCTCATCAACTGTTTTCAAATGAAGTTCAGTATTCACTGTAATTGTTTTCATTGTAAGTTGTAGGGAAAGGCAATATAAAATTATATAAACATGTGAAATTAATATTTTTAGAAATTCACTGAAGCAATTAATAAGAAACAGGCCCACTTTCCAGATGTATTTGTTTTTTCCCCTGTTGTTATCCACAAATGGTTGGTTATAGGAATGGGGTACTTCCAGAGAGATTTTTAAATTCCTGAGGAAAAGACCAATGATTTATGCATTCCAACACCATTTCATCTTTTTCAGAAATGCACTCAAATTTGAGATGCTCTGTAGCCTGTTTGTGAACAGCACCCAGCAAGAATAAACTGGCTCCCCAAGTTGGGGCATGTCATGGATCTAGTACTATTTTCTGTCCTCATTTAGTCTCTGTAAACCCTTGAATGCTCAGTTCTCATTCCAGTGGCTGCTCTGAGCCTCCTGGGACACACTCGGGCAGCTCTGGTATTCCATGGCTGTGCACCCCCCTGCATGGAGCTGCTGCATGAAGTCACTCAGGGCAGAGTTATTGATACATGCAAAAGCCTCATGCTCACTATCTAACACACATCAAGTAACAAATTCCTAATTAGTGATTAACAAGCAAGTCCCAAGGATTTTCTTACATGCAAGAACAGTATAGCTGCTGTAGAGGTTTTCAGTATCCTCTCATTCTGTGGTTTAAAAGCATACCCATTTTTATATTGTCAGATAATAAACACAAAAGGAACGTACAATAAAAAATGTAATCTTTATTATTTTGACGCATTAATAATGTTCTTTAGCATCAGTTAGGGTAATAGCATTTTCCTGCATGCAGTTCACTAATACAGATTTAGTCAATAATTTTAATAAAAGTAATCTATATTTAATTTTCCTGTGTAAGAAACATAAAATGTCCTGATGGATTGGATTATACAATTTTGCTACTTTCTCTTTGTGAAAAAATATCGTGGACCCTAGATAATATTTAGAACTGTTCTAGTGCAGCATGAAGGAAAAAAAATCTGTGAGTAAACATGAGAAAAGATTCAGGATTCTCTGAAAGAAAGGTTGTATCCGAAAACTTATGATGCAGGCACTGCTTAGACATTCAATTTGAACTTTAGACCATTTCCCAATGGCAAAAAAAACCCCAAAAAAATGTAGCTTTTTGGAAGCAAATTATGAACTTATTTCACAGAAATTATTCATATGTTGGCAAATACTGTAAAAAACAAGATCCTACAGTTATCCATTCACTTAGTTATATCTTGTTCTCAGAAGTTCTTCTGTGAAAAAGTGCTATGGAGTGAAAGTAACAAAAATGTTGTGACATCAACCTGAAGATAAAATTCAGTTCTTGTTTTATGTACATAATGCTGAAAAATAAAATAAAATGATTTTTACAGTATTTATATTTGCTTATAAAATCCTAACATTATTTTCAACAGGTTTAGTAGTTTTCAACATCTGTACAGTTTGGATATACACTATATGTATTTCACTGAAAATTCAGAAATGTAAAACAAATAAGCTCCTAAATAGCTGCAAAATATTGCTTAATGGTATGGAGGAATGAGGTCTTTTTGAGTAGTTTATTTCATTTAGGTCTGATGTATGGCTTCCCATGTTTAAGAATCCTGGACAGTCAAAGGAATAGCAGCATAGGCAATATAAACATGCATTGATTGCATCCAAACTATCTATAATGGTAGATAATACGTAATTTTACCTGTTGAATGCTTGCACACTACACTTATTGTGGTACATATTTGATGCAATAAATGTGCTAAAGTCATTATCTGTTTGCTCAAACATGCACCACAGGTTAAAAATTATTTACATAGCAGAGGGCTTTTCATTAACGTGTACAACATCAGCCTTACTGAGAGCTGAAGATGGCTAAACAATACTGCAGGATAAAGCAGAACAACTTTATAGAGGGCTCTTTTTGATCAATTTGGTGGGCTGAGGCAGATTCCTTTAGTATTTGTATGCAGAAAGACATTTGACAAAGACAACATCTGTGACTCCAGACCTAGGAAGAAGTTTGCACCTTCTGAGACTTAATGGTCTGTGCCAAAATTTAACCATATTTACTGTTCTTGTGAGTTGTAGAGGACTTTACAGGCATACTAAGACTTGTTCGAACATGATATGACATGAATACATTAATTAAGCACCTCGAAATCTGTTATTCCTTTCCAGAAACACTGTGCTAAAAAAATCTGTTGTTCTTTGTGTCTTAATGTTATTTTCATGCATGATCTATAAGTGCAGCATGCCTTCATGCAAGTAATTTCTGTGTGTATATTTGTTGTATAATAGAACACTTGGCCCTTGTACCTGTAAAGGTGTACTTAATTCCCTTCCCCAACAGAAGCCCCATTTACAAAAATAGTCACATATAATAAACAACATATGAATAAAAATAAGATGAATCCACCAACACAGATTTTGTAAAAATATGAAGTATGTGGCAGTTGAAATGCAAACAGTGGATAGAGTTACCATATTGTTTTATGCTAAACACACAAATACTTGGTTTCACACCCCTTTAACTTGTCCCTACAGTCTGTGTAGCCATTTTTCTCTCCTCTTCAGCAGTGTCAGCTGGTAATGAGAACAGTAACCTCCTGTCAAGGTTGTTTCTTCTTATCACAGTCACAGTCACTGACAAGGGGTCACTGTCTTTTAATAGGCACTGACCTTTAATGTACAGTATATTTGTAAAAATTGTCAGTTTGGCATAGACCTCCTTCAGGAGTCCTGTTGACACAAACACATGATCCTTACAGAATATGAACTACTTTGCACTTATATGATTTTTCTTGCTATTTGCTCTTATTTCTGACCATCTTTATCTTCCTTTTCATGCTTTTCTTTGACTGGCCTCATTACACGATCATAAGAAGGCGGACAAACTGCTGTTGATGCCGTTATATCTGTTTTCTCTGTAAATGAGTTTTCATTTAACTTGTCAATAAGGATTTCATCTTTCATACCCTGCCCAGCCCCACCTTCAGTTTTATTTTTGTTATAGATAAAGGAAGCTTGTTTTACTGTTCGTTTTAAAAGGTGACGTCTGTAAGCACGCTGAATAATAACAGCAGACACTTCCTCCTGCTTTCGTTTCAATGTGGTTGTAATTGGTTCATAGGAAGCTTTAGAAGGATTTGATGCCATAAACCGATCTTCCATCTGTATTCTGAGGGCATCCATCTCCCCACTTTCCCCCAAAACACGCTTTGTGAAAGCAAACAAGATGTCAAGGCAGTGAATTCTGTCACCGCTCACCATGGGCAGATCCATTGCAATCAGCTGGACTTTGTTTGGTTTGGGTAGATGAAGCGGAGGCTCAAGTGCTGCTGCAAAATCAGACAATTTCTCAAATTCCATGAATTGTGTTGCATCAGGATCAAACTTCTCCCAGACTTCATAGAACATCTCAAAGTCATCCTCGCTCAAAGGTTCAGCACTTTCTTCAGTAGCAACACCAAAGTTCTCCAAAATCACAGCAATGTACATGTTCACCACTACCAGGAAGGATATGATAATGTAGCTGACAAAGAAGAAAATCCCAACAGAAGGGTTGCCACAGTCACCTTTCACAGAGCTCCCTGGATGAGCCTTGTTAGGGTCACAGTCTGGCTCCCCACTGTTGAGAATTGGGGCGAGCAAACCGTCCCAGCCAGCGGAGGTGGTGATCTGAAACAGGCAGATCATGCTGTTGCCAAACGTTTCAAAGTTGAACATGTCATCAATCCCAGCTTCCCTCTTGACATAGGCAAAGTTGGACATGCCAAATATCGCATAGATGAACATGACCAGGAAGAGCAGCAGCCCAATGTTGAACAGAGCAGGAAGAGACATCATCAAAGCGAAGAGCAGAGTGCGGATTCCCTTAGCGCCTTTAATGAGGCGCAGGATTCGACCAATTCTGGCAAGCCGGATGACTCTGAATAGTGTGGGAGATACAAAGTACTTCTCGATCATCTCAGCCAAAAACATTCCTAAAAAAGAAAAAAAATACAAAAAAGAAAAAAAACCAAGGTACATTAGCACTTACTCTCCATATCACAATAGACATTTAGAAACACAGTTTTAAAATTGGGCAATTAAAGATATTCTGTATATTACAATGGTATAATTTCTGTTTTAGCAGTTATACTTAATATTTTCAGGCACAGTAAATGTTGGATGATTATGACAGTTTTGATGGTTTAGCTAAATTGCAAGTTAAAATGTAAAGTTTAATGACTTGGTTGTAAATCTTGCAATGGCAAGAGCTCACCATATAGCTCTATTCGAGTAAAAGTTCACATCCTATTAATTTTACCTTCCTTTTAGTTTAATTAACAAGACTTACCTACTATAGAGAGAATGACAACCACAAAATCAAAAATATTCCAGCCTATAGTGAAGTAGTAATGGCGAAGTGAAATTAATTTCAGAACACATTCTCCAGTGAAAAGGACAATGAACACAAGGTTTATCCAGTATAAAATATTTTCCATTTCTTCGCTCTGGTCATCAGTTTCTACCATCATGGTAACCATATTAAGACAAATAAGAATCATGATGCTGATGTCAAATACTTGCTGTGTCACAAAATCAAAAACCATTCCTTGGAATTTATTCTGAGGAAGAAAGAAAAAAGAAACATCCAATATAAACTGTAATTTATCTACATTTCCTGTTAGAAGAAAATAGAAAAACACATGCAGTAAGGCTTATGAGACTTCAATAAAGTTGTAACTAGCGTACACTAGTTACTAATTGAGCACTCAAATACAGCAACTTACTTCAGCCTCCTGTGTTACATATTCATAAATAAAATAGTTGTAAGTGAAAAACATTTTTTTTGTTTTATTTTAGATTTCCATTTCTGCTAACTAATGCCCCCGTTACTGATAACTTTCAATTGGCATATTTCTGCTCTCCCTGTATCAATAAAAACTCTTTGTAAATAGCTATTTGTCTGATGTATATAAATGATTTTACCCCTGGTCTTGGTATAGGTTTTTGTGGTTTTTTGGATCCCAGCTTTTTCATTGCATTGTAGTATTTCTTCTGCTCTTCTGTCATAAATATGTCTTGACCTCCAAAGTAAAAACATGAAATCAGAACTGGTTATAATCACATTTATATGCAGTGCTGAAAAAACTGAGTGATTCAAAAATCAAGAAGACTAAATCAGGAAAAAATCTCTCAGCTATCAAATGCATCTGTCTAGAATCTAGGCATTTAGTCTAGAAGTCTGGACATCTGGGACTGTATTGCTCTAAGAAACAAAAAAATATGCAAGCAACATCTTTTTACAGTTATTTTCCTGGAACTCCAAGATATCATTTCCCTTACCTCTTTTCTTTTTTAGTAAGAGATACAGTAAAGAGTATTTGAGATAAATTCAGATAATCTGGGCTGCTCAATACTGTCACTTCTGAACTGTGATTTTAATGAAACAAAGGAAAAAGACAAAGTCAGATTTTCAGTACAGGAATGTGCTTTAGGTATCTCTAGTTTATCAATCACATTAGCACTGGGGCCCAAAGTCTTCAAGGTTCTTGAGAAGATGGATTATCAGACTTTGGAGAAACTTCGCTGAAGATTGAAGCACCCGGTACTTTTAAGAGCAAAATGTTCTCTTTTAAATCTTTTATTTTTATTAGTTCTGTGTTCAGTGAAGTTGTATTTAGCAAAAGCATTAACCTGCCTTTGAAGTCTGACAGTGAAGGTAAAGAAGGAATTACAGATCTTCCATATTTCTAATCAAAATCCATAGTAACCTTGTTTTAGAGACAGCTTGAATGAAAATCTTTGACACTTCCCATACCTCTTGAAGAAAAGTTTTCCTAGATGTCCTTGCAGACATCTAATTCCAGGAATGCCAATGCAGACATAGGACTGGATACAGCCCTTTGTGGATGACTGTGTGGGAAGCTTGAAGATGTGGGAATGCAAGGACTGTAAGCTGGACAGGTTCCCTGACCATATACCTCTATGTTTCCACATGTACAGCATCCAAAAATCTTGCTTAGTATTTCTCATTATTAACATAAACCCAGAGAAAGTGATGCAGTCCAGTAAAGTAAAAATAAACTAGTAATTCATAGCTGCTTTGGTCCTTGAGCTTTCATTGCTTTATCTATTTAAAGAAAATAATTTTAAAGGTGAGCATCTCCTACTTAGACAGTCTATACCAGCGAGATTATCTACATCTGCAGTGTGAAACAATAAAATAAGGTCCTGAAATAGTTACAAACCGCTCCTTCTCTGTAGTTTCAGATTGTTCTGTGCCACAAAATTGAACTTGAATACTTGGGATCAGATCATTAAAACATCACCTTTAATTGCATGAAATTATTTTGAGTAATTTTTGGTTTGATGAAATTATTTTTTGTTTCATAACTAGCTAGCTGTTGGTTTTTTTTTTTTTTTGTGTGTGTGTGTGTGTGCTCATAGAATACTAAAAATCAAGAAGGAAAAAACCCTAAGAAATTATGAGTGCTTTAACGCAGGGGCCTAATTAAGGGGTTGGATCATGCAGGAATACTTAATGAAGTTTAATTATGAAAAAGTAGAATGACTTGAGGAAGACCAAACTGGGAATTGACAACAGAAGGATCTGAGCTGGTCACTAAATGAAAAATCTTATAACTTTAATGAATACTGCAGGTATGATTTTGTCATAACATAATGCAGCTTTTTCAATTTTGAACAAGCTATGGGTGTACTTTCCATATAGCATGCACCTGCAAAAATATCTTTAGAATATCTTAAGAAGAGAAATGAAACAATACTTATCTTCTTTTTTTGCTGATTGAAGTTGTCAATAATGACACCAATGAACAAATTCAGGGTGAAAAAAGACCCGAAAATTATAAAGATGACAAAATACAAATACATATACAAGTTGTCTTCATACTTGGGTTGTTCTAACACCTAAAGGGAAAAAAAAGTGAAATATGATTCTTAAGACTTCATGTAAAAATTTTAACCAAACAAGTGACAACCTTGCACAAAGCATCACCAATATTTTGTATTTGGACAATATTCCTATCACTTATATCAATATATTTTTTCTATTCTACCTCTTGCTGATAGCACCTTGCAGTTTGCATTCAGTTGTCCACATTTTGTTACCACCGAATCTCATACTAATTAATTTAGTTTTTTCATTCTATTGTAAATTGCTTATTTAGGATAAATACACACTTGTAGATAGACAGACTTCAGGAAAAAAAAAAGATAATTTAAAATATTGATTGTACTTACATCTCTTGAGTCAATAGCTGCATACATAATATCCATCCAGCCTTTAAATGTAGCCTGTAAATAATACACACCTGTTTAAGCATTCTAAAGACAATTCATTTAATAATTTCCTGCAACTCAGTACAGCACCAGGCATAATTAGTAGCATTAGATTTCTAATGTGTTTTGCCTCTTGGCTCTCTATTTAGCTGCTCATCAGATATACTGCTGTGTATCCCATTACTTTGTATTAGATATTAACATTTTAAACAGTAAGTATGATTAATATATTTCTAATTTCTGTTTAACAAAAATTATAGAAGGCATTTTAGTTCATCAAATCATGTCAACTGCAAGAGCTAGGTACAGCTGGGTGTATAGCTTTATGTAACTGAGTTGCCACCAATTAAGACTAACATGTAGTTCCTCTGTCCCTAGGCAGAAAGGTGGCAAAAAAATGGAACCAAACATTTGATCATCTCAAAAAAGGTATTTTCCTATAATCAGAGTATACATTGAAAGAATTTACCTAGTTTAGTAATTCTATGTTCACTTTAAATATAATATATCATGCTTTACAGAGCCTGGATGTCTCATACGTTCTGAGATAAAGTAGTAGGAAATGTTTCATGTGCATTGAATACTTAATATGCTTCATAAATGACAGCATTTACTGAAATTTTGGAGGTATTTTCTCTGCCCAAATCTGTACATTTTTGTATTTGATAGTGAGGTGTCAAACATTCATCAGAATGTTCGAAACAGAAAGTCGCTTACTCTGTTGTGGCAATTAGTTCTCTTTTAACTAGGCAACATCTCCAAGTAGAAACCACTTGGTTTTTAATCCAGTTGTGCCCAAAAATAGAGCAAAAAAGGGAACTAATTCTATGTTGTTTAATCCTCATTACAGTTTTGCAAAACAAGACTGCAGATCATTGTTTCCTTAATTTTCCTTGCCAAAGAGACCAGTGGCAGGATAGAATCAGGAATGAAACACTCTTCATCCATGTTTTTTACTGAATCACCATCATCTTCAGGTTTCATTTCTAGTGGAAGTTTCAAAAAAAGGGCATGATTATCCTTAGATGCAAATCCAATGTGCAGCAACTTTCACATCTTGGGGTCAACACAGAAAATATAAAGCTCAGGTGACTAACAGTATGATGGTGAAATCAAAAGGTAGTATCATAGGTCCAATAAATCAAAAATAAATCTGAAACAAGTAGCAGTCAGCTAAAGAATTTAAAGTCCTCAGAGAATACTTGGACTGCAAGGGATTAGGAGAGGTAGATATTTATGTAATTACTAATCTATTACTAGTTTATTTATGTAATTACTAATATATGCTTAACTTGTTCTCAAAGGCTTTTAATGGTGAATACACCACAACCTTATTAAAAATGTGTATTCTGGCACTTCCTTTTATTATTTTCTAATGCTTACATCCTTCTGTTGCCATTTAGACTCACTTGTCATAGCCATTACGTATTTGGAGAACTGCAGGAATCACCTTCATGCAGCATCTCTTACTTTTTGCAAATTGATTGTTGCCGTCTTTCTTTTTTAGGTAGTGATCACTGTTCCTTTAGTCTTCTCATGCAACTCTGGTTTTCTAGAACTCTGATCACTCTTCTTATTTTCCTCTGAGCTCTAATACAATGGTTCATCTCTAGTAATGGCAACTAAAACAGGATTCAGTATTTCATCTAAGAAGGTCTAAATAGGGTAAGATGATATATCATGTCTTCCAGTGCTACTTTTGTTTCTGTCTTGGTACACTACTTGCATTTTTTGGTATATCAGTACTTGAAATTAGCACTTCAGTCTGAAACACCACATTAAGATAATGGGCAGACTTTTACTTCAGAAAGATGATGCAAATGATGGAGTGGCACGTGTGCAAAGTGTGTGCTGTTGCCTCAGATTCAGACACATGATGATCTTTGCATATAATCCTCCAGGCAAAAGAGAATAATTATTGCATGTTTTTGAAATTTATTCGTGTAGCCTAGACTAAGTAGAGTCAATGAAAAGAGATAGACTAATTTTAAAATATTAAGCTTCACTGCCATTACTAAAGTACTGCACTATAAAGAGACAGTACCCTTTAACTAGTGGTAGGAAATAGAGTTGAAGAACGGAACTGTATTATTATTGTTTTTGTTATTGTTGTTGTTAAAAAGGAAGCTTGTAAAGATGTGGGGTGGAAAAATAGAAATGTAACCTATTGGTACCTTGTGATTTCCACAATGAGCTTCTTAACACTCTGAGACATTAAAATTTTTGAAGAAATTAAGAGAGGCAAGATAACCAATTCAGTGAAAGCCTTATTTTTGCTGTAGATGCATGGATCTGTTTATATTTATCTGCAGTGTGTTCTCTTTAAGAGAAATAAGGTATCATTTGTGTATTTTTGTATCCTGAAAGAAAATAACACAGAAAATGACCAAAAAATCAAATTATTAGTTTCCATTTTGCATATGACCATATAAAATATATTGTATATCCTCAGTCACACTAAATCAGGAATAATTAATTGATTTCAAAGATCACAGCAGTATAACTGAAGTCAGCATCTGTTCCAAATGTGTTTTTTTTTCTGCCAAGGAGATTTCAATGACACATTCAAATGCAGATTCAAATGTAGTTATAAAAAACAATGGAACAAACATCTCCAATCTCCTTTACTGTTAAAAAATCATAGATTTTTTTACCCCCATATAAATAATTTCTAATGAAGTTTTAAGTCATGCTGGAGTTTTATCACTCAATTTCTTTACCAGAAAAAATCACCATGAAGACTCACATTCCCTTTTGAAGATACAATAGCATCTTGGTTTTAAAATACTAACCTGCTGGAACTTTGAAAGTATCCTAAAGTTTTAGCCTTAGAATTAAGCTTCTGATTTTTTTTTTCCATACACTTCAAGAGATATGTTGTCTTACTGATATTAGTAACAGTAGAGTACAATATTGTGCTTTGAGACCCACTGGTTTGTCACATTTTTTCCTGGTGAGCAGGGTATATCCTTACTAGGTGGATAAAAGCAGGCCTCTGGGAGATTTACTTACCAAGGAATCCAAATTCTAGGTTCAAGTTAAAAGGCATAAGGCCATAAAATTATCAGGGCAGATGCCACATCTCTGTGTACACCAACCTCTTCCTCTTCACTCATTGGTGCATGACAATTGTGAAAGGAATTTCTCCAGCAGATGTGTCTCTGCTTTGATGCATCTCTTTTGGGACAGAGAAATACTCAAGCAAATTCAGACCAAGAAATGAAAAAAAGAAGCTTGAAGATCCACACAAAACAGCATGATCTACACTATATTATAGAAGAAAAAAAATTCTTATAGAAGAAATGTGTGCTTATATGACTGATGGTATGAATAATTATACTCCAAATTCTGAAAGAATTCTGGAAAACAGTTTGATCAACGAAGTCCATAAAACTTGGTTTTATCAACGACTTGTATTGCTAGGGTGTATTTTTTGGGCAGAAAGAATTATAACATTGCTATAAAGAAAGAATTATAACATTGCTATAATACTAAAGATTTTCCACGCAAAACTGCTTCCCATGAAAGCAAAAAACCCAAGAAATGTCAACCAAAAATTAGGTAATGTTCTTTTCCTAGGCCCCTCATTCAAGAAAGTCATTCAGTATCCCTGTCAAGTAAACTCAAGAAAGAGCTTGTTAGAGAGTTCCTTTTCCTTAAAGTTACTATCACACATTTGCATTTTTTGAGCCCAGAATACTTCTTTCTGAAATTATCTGTCTACTTTTGAATATTTCTGTGTGAAATATGAGTATTTCTTTTCCATATCACTCTTAAAAAAAGAAGAGTTTTCTGTGATAAACAGACCCATATACTGCTGGAGACATTAAAAAGAGTTCTTCTATTTATGTCTTTCCCAGAATAATAAGGCCCTCAGTGCCTTGGTTTGAAGTTCTTTTGGCTTGTTTTCATTTTGATTTTTTGTCATAAAATGGTTCTAACTTTCATTAGTATTCACTTCAATTAGTGATACAGATAGTAAGCTTATGGTTCTTATAACCCAGAAAAGTGAAGGAATGGAGAATGGAAATAATGAGGAATAAGAGGAAGCTTTCTGTATTTATTTTCTAGCCTCCTGGCCTTGTATCAGTAATTCATGCATTGATACACTTCACAGAAATTGGAATTAGAAAAATGACATTGACCTCCCCTGACTCATTTTCTCAGGTCCAGCACTAGTAGAAGTCTGTGCCGGAGGTTGTTGAGGAGCAGAACCAAATGACTTCAGTAGAAAAGGCCATTAATGTTCACTTAGGCAAACAGGAAGCATATCCACTTGCATCATTATAATCTGATTTTTCAGGCTCAGTATATAATTTTAGGCCAACTGCTAAACATTCAATAGCTTTAGCTTTGTTTCTGACACAGTAAGGTGTACCTCTAACTGAGTCATACGTTAGCATTTAGTCTTCTTCCTATTGCTGCAAGCTGTTTAGGAAGGGTAGGAGAATATACAGCTATGACATACCTTTTCAAGTCTCATGTTTTTTTTACGGCTTTGGAGTCCTGTTCTAGAGTTTGATCCAAAGTACTTTATATATCAAATAGAAAATCACCTTATCAGTCTTTTTTGACTGAAAAAGCAATGTAAGAATCTCAAACAGTTATGAATTGTGGCCTTGTTTTCTTGAAGGTGAAAATACCTAGATTCTCTACATTTTAATGCATTAACTGAAAATCAAGCTGATATTCTTTCTCAGTCCTAGGGCTCTTATCATTCCATAACTGCAAAATCACTACTACTAGCTTACTTACCAAACCCTAAAAATTGCAGGGATGATATTTTGTTCAATGACAGAAATGCCCTGTTTTTTCTGCTATGTCAAAAAAAAAAAAAAAAAAAAAAGTCTTGATGATTTTATGAGCATTTTAGCAATACAGAAAAATTAAGTGCTGTTGTCGTGGACATTCTACTCACACAAAATATCCTCCATGAATAAGTGAGGGTCTCAGGTTCTTGCAAGATCTCTACATCATAGATAGTGCACCAACAAACAGGCTTGTCCTCTATGAAAGCTACAGGTCCCTCTGTGTTAGGTCTAGATTAACTTTTCCTTTGGAATTGTGGGAATGATTGTCAAATTTCTCCTAATTTGCCTCCCAAAAAATCCAATAATTTAAGACTCTAAGTCTTCATGTACAGAAATATTTGTGTCTTTTCAATAAATAGAAGATGAAATAATCTATGCATAGCCACGACACTGAAATAGATATGACTGCAAGTAGCTGAGGGGTGGTGGTTGCAGCCACAAAGCCGGGAAAGAAATGAACCTGGAATAAAGACGTGTGTCCCAGAGTAGAATAGGTTACTACTAGAAAGAGAATTGCAAACTACTTGGAAATAGTTTTGTTGATGTCTTGTTTCTCCTGAACCCCTGTAATGAAGCGTTCTGACTCCCTGCGTGAGTAGACTTCATAAACAAGCCAAAGAATGTAAGAACTTACTAGTGGTCCCTCTCCACTCTTTCCCGATGTGACAGTAAGATAAGGAATCATAATGAAATTTAAATGTACAGACTTATGAGTCACACAGGTAAGATGCTGTATTAGCTGGGAGAGGCAGTTCACATTGCTCAGAACTATTGTAGTAGACCTTGTGCAGGACAATGTCCATACCACTGCATCATGTTAATGATTTGTTTTACTGAGATTTTCTGTAAACAACATAAAATCTGAAAATTTATTTAAGAGCAATAAAAATTAAACATACGATACTGCAGATTTAGATAGTAATCTCAAAAAACCAAAACAAACAACAACAACAACAAAAAAAAAAAAAAAAAAAAAGAGAAAAACCCCAAAAAACCCCCAAAACCCGTAGAAGTTGCTGAAGGTACACAATACAGGTAAAAGTGCAGCATTTTCTTGATTAAACTGGGTCTGATTGGTAGCGGTTTCAAAATACAAAGATAGTGTTGTGAGGACACATCTTTTGATATTGAAGGCATAATTTTATAGTATCTGTCTGCATATATTTTCTTTCTTCTTCCCTCAGATTTTACTAAATAAACTCTATGAAGTCTTTTTGCACAGAAGTGTCAGGAAAAAATTTCATAGATTATAGTATCAAGTGCTATTTTTCTTTCATTATTTGTCTTCTGAATGAGAAATTGCTTTTTAGGTTAGATCTGCCCTGGTGGCAGCCACAAACCTGAGATAAGATTAATTAGGTGAAATTCTGTGTGACTTAATCACACCAACAGAGATTTTTTTTTCAGCAACTGGAAAACTTAAAATATTTAGATACCTGAATACCATTCCTAGGTAATTCTAGAAACTTTAAAAGTTAGAAGTGGCTAAAGGACTAAGGGAGCCATAAATGGGAAGTTATGTCATTAGATGTTCTAAAGATTCTTTATTCACCATAGTAGACTCTACTTGCTGCTTATGATGAAAAGAGTAATCAATTACCAGTGTAGCAGAACTACTAAGTCACAGATAAAAATCATCAGGGAAATGTTTTGTCTCTTTGTTGCTAGAATTGCTTTTCACTACTGCATATAAACAGGAAAAGGTATATAAAGAGTGATCACTTACTACTTGAAGTAAAGAAAGATACCCAAATCCTACATTATCAAAGTTTACTTTCACGTTTTTCCATCGGGCACTTTGATTGTTTTTTATGAGTTCCTCGCACTGACTAAAATTGTTGATTTGGTCGACTTCAAACCTTTCATCAGTTGTGGTGTTAACACAGTAGTAGAACTTCCCAGCAAACAGATTTACTCCCATGATGCTGAAAATTAGCCAGAATATAAGACAAACGAGAAGCACGTTCATGATGGATGGAATTGCTCCTAAAAGGGCATTCACAACCACCTAGTACACAAATACAGGGGGAAAGAGAAAAGAATATAAGTATACTTACAGCAATACATTTTTGTATACTGTTTCACCGTTCCTTAATAAATGCTTATTCAGAAACTAATACTATAAATTTTAAAGCAGTACATTAATAACTGTAGCATTGCATCACTCCTTTAAATTATTGACATTAGTTCATGTAATGAAAAAAAAATAAGGGGAATAATGAAAATAATTCATAGAAAAAAAGAAGACTTAGCAGTAGTAAGACAATGCCTGACGATGACTTGTTCTAGATAAAAAAGAAAAATGTGCTAAATGAAAAATGTAGACATAATAAGATTCTAAAAATGAATGAAATTATAGCTTAAAAAATGTTTAAAGCAAAATGGCAACCTGTAGATTTGATCAACATAGTTTTGAAATTTAAGCTGAAAATACAAATGCCATGAATCTAGAAACTAAGCTCTACATAAAAGAATTATGCATGAATTAAAGAAATAACTTTATTGCCTTATTGTTCCATGCAAGATTATAACAAAGATTAATTTCTTTGTATACGAAAGCAAGACAGGTTTGCAATATGTGTCTACTTGAATCAACATAATTTATTTCAAGCTCCAGTCTTGTTGCTTCATTAATTAAATTAGCAATAACCTTCATTTATCTAAAAAAGGATATATTTAGGGCTTCTGATTTTGCATTTTGAATTACTTTTGGGGGGGCTACCTTCTTAGATATTTGCAGGCAAGATGTCAATATATCTTATGTAGATAAAAGGTGCATTTTTCTGATATCTATAGAAATTAATCACATGTGTCTGTCAGACCTATCAAAACTTTTGTGATGAGCAACTGATTTTCCTAAGTATCCAATTCCAGCATCTCATTTACAAGTTATATTTTATTTAAAAGTTTATATTTTTTCTTCTGTAAACTTTTGGGACCTGGTAGGAAGGTAAAATAAAATATGATGTAGGATTCTTACTTTCAGTAATCTAAGTCCTGCAGCGAGGCAGGAAAGGATATCAGGGTACATTAAGTTGTCTTAGTCTATCTCTGTTCCCTGCAATACAGATGCACTCCCCACTACCAACATAGTCATGAGCAAGCTCAGAACTGCTCAATCTTACTACCTGTATTTCACAGGCTCTAGAAGGCCTTTGGATGAAAAATATTGTGGTTGTGTTGTTCATCACTCAGCACCCTCCTCCCCTCTTCCTCCCAAATATTATGGTCAGCAATTAGGATATGTTCAGAGATTTTAGGTAGAAATGTTGATTTCAGGGCATATTTTCTATTCAATTAGAATGATCTCCTCCATTGCCTGGCAATAGAAATGGAACCTTTCTGTAGCAGAATAACCCTTATCTTCTATAAAACCATGTTTTTGTTTTTTAAATTTAGCACTTTTAATTTTTTAAATTTTTTTTTTTTAATATTGCTTGTATTTTTGGTGATGAAAAGATACCAGTAATAAATCTGTTGCTATTTAGCTTCATGGAATTGAGAACGTAAAAATTAGGAATGGAATTAGAAATTCTGAAATTTGTTCCAAGTCTGACCTGGTCTATGACACTGCATTATGCTATTGCTGCTTTGAAATTCTAGGCCAGCTAGTGTTTGGTTGTTTTTATCCCCCACTCATAGAAATGTTCCAGATGTGATAAACTGATTGAATTCCTCTGTTTAGTCTTGATGAAAAACATGAAAATAAAGATGTCAAGAAAGAAAGATGGGGATTTAGTTCTGCAATTCAAATGAATCAAGGTTACCTCTGCTCACACAAAGAATGGTTTTGCAAAAATTGAGTGCCTGTAGCAGTTACCTTTATAACAACCCTGACATCCATTGAACCACAGCACAGATCCAGAACAGGCAGCAGAATAATAACAGCAAAATAACTGTTACAACAATTATGAATTGATAATAGTTTTAGAAAAAAAGATTTCCACAAAATGCATCAGTGCGTCTTGCACTTGATAATTTTTAGATGAACAGGTAATGCAGTTCTCCCCACTGAGACTATGGAAAGATCAGCTACATCTTGGATAAAAAGAGAACAGCTTCCAGCAAGTGTTCCAACAACTTATTTCATAAAGGTCACTGAAAACCCATCAAATGGTAATAATTTTTGGTCACTACTGACCTGGCCTGGATGCGAACTGGTGACCTAGAGATGAAAGGCTCTGTATCCTATTACCAACCCCTTGAGCTATCCAGTCCCCCTGGAAGGTTTTTTAAGAAAAGAAGAAAAGAAAATTAAAACTTTTAGAAGTTGTTTTCTGTTTGCATTTTTTTCTGTTTGATTTTTTTTTCCTCAGCGGTGTTAAGCCTTACCCCTATCATATTTATAATGTAAAACTGTATTGCTACACATTGGTGAGATGCTCAGCTGACTGTAAAGTCCACTTTAGCAAGAGGTCTTTAATTTCTTCAACACATAAGAGTCACAGGTAATCGCCTTAAGAGTGTTTTTCTGGTTTATTTCTATTTTTTTTTAAATATGTTTTGGGAATTAGCTGAGGTATCTCAGAATAACCAGGACATTAACTTAATATATATCCAGGATTGTACCCGTACATACACAGACAGCAACTACACACGTAAGTTACAGCAAATGGACAGAAGAAAGGGGAAACCAACTGAAAAGTGAACTGAATGCAGAAAAAAGGTCAATTAAGATTTCTAAATGATTTAATTTAGCAAACAAAGGATGCCATTCTCATCTTGTTGCTGGAAAGAGTTTGTAGAAGGTTAAAAGAATGTTGGCAACTACAGCTCTTATTTTTCCTTGCTCTTTAAATTTAGATCAGATATACATGATTCAAAATGCCTTTTTCATTTTAAAAGGGGCTATTTCTATTTGGCCTATTTTCTGTTCTTTCTTGATACAGAATATAATGCCCGTAAATTGGAAAAAGATGTTTGCATAGTTTTTTCTTTGGTTTTATAAATTACCTATGCATTTCCTCAAGGCTGGGATGTTGCTGGTCAGACTGACTCCAATGAGTAAAGCTGCAAAAGCCCAAGTTGATTCTGCTTGTTCACCTTCCTATAGCTTCAGGTAGGTGGAACAGCAATAAGAACAAGTGAGAAGCAACACCTGATGCCTAAAAAGACAAAGAAGCTCTGGACTATTTTACATTTCAGTCAACATTCATCTGGGGGTGGGGGCGGGGAATAATTGTGGGAAACCGTGTCTTCTCTAGAAGAAAGCAGTATTTCATATATATACACAATATTTCATGTTTAAATTTACGTAACGTTTATCTTCCAATATCAGATTTATATATAAATAAGAGAATTACTGCAATACTAATTGTATGTCCTATCTTCTGGCCAGTATGACTTTCTGTCAAGGCAAATTAGTAATCCAGATGTTTTTCATGGCTGCTGCTTGTATCTTCTTTTGAAAAAAATCTCCAAAGAAAACAGGACAAAAAAAAACTGGACAAAGTGGACAAAAAAGTCAATTTTGCTGTCAGAACCATTCATATGTGTAGAATGAGGATCGTACAAAACACCAGCTTTTCCCTTCTGTATGAATAGACTAAAAGGAAACTTTACAAGATTGACCCCTGCTTGGGGAGACATAGCTGAACACGTAGTGAGAAATAAATGTATTTTAGTTGCCAAGGGAAAGTATTTTCCATGGATCCTGACACCTCAGCTGCCACAGACTTTCCAGGAATTCCTACATTGAAGCTTGAATAATGGATATATCAGGACCTCCTGAAATCTGTAAACAAACAAGGAAAAATCTTTAGTAGTACTTATCCACTTTTCCCATAACTTCTGCAGACTCTGTGAAGAAGTTCCTAACTCTCTTCCTGGTGCAAACGAGGAGGAAGTTACCATCTTTGGGAAGGAAAGGGAGATTACAGGACTGTGGGTGGAACATTCTTTCTACTCACAATTAAGTATTTTATTTGCCTCCATTTGGAAGGTATCAACTTTGTAATTTTATGCTTAAATAGGAAAAGTTCCCAAAGAGCTGCCAGAGAGAACATTTGCAGTGAGAGATGGAGAAGTGAGCAAGTAGACATTGGTTTGGATTCTTGGTGCAGCACATAGATAAGACTGCTGGAATGGCAGAATGGACACAGATGTAGGCACAGGTGACAATGGTATCTGCATTTACCACGTGTTCATAGTGAAGGACCTGGAGGACAGCACACAAGGAAGTCTCGAAGACTCTGAAACCACACTGACTTGACTAAGTGGGTATCCAGTAACAGACAAGTGTATTCTCCCTTAAACTGTGGAAGAGTTGAGGCAAGGGAAGAAAGGACATAGTAACTGTATGTAAACATACAGTAACTATCCCAGGTAGGGGATCAAAAGAGCATCTGAGGCAGACCATGAAGAAACCCCACCCCTTAATCAGAAAGATTGACTATCTGATGCTGTAATAATGGCTTTCTGTTCTCCCTGGTACTATGAAATTGATGATGGAAACTGCCTTTCTCTGAAGTTAGAGGAGCTTCTTCTACAAGTCATAACACAGGAGTAAATCAGTGGGATTGGAGGAAACAGTTATGGGGCTTCATTTAGGAGCAGCTAAGTCAATTGAAAATGTTTCTCACAAAAGCAGTGGAGGTAGTGGAACTGAGGGCCAGCAGACAGAATAAAAACATGGCCCAGTGCTGAAGATTAAGAGAGAGCCTCAGCAGAGGCTCCCTCATTTCTGCCACAGTTGCTTAGTGTGAAGTTTGGAGGTGCCCATGAAGGAAGATAACTGGTGATGCAGTACAGGAAAAATATTCCCACATAAGATACCCTGTCTCATCATCTGAGCGCATACGTGGAGTTGGTTTGAAGATGGCTGTTGGGAGAGAAAGGTTAAAACAAAGATTTGGTGAGGAGGGAATAGTTTCTCTCAAAGTGAACTTGGAGCTGGGAATGCTAAGCATGTCAGTGTGGGAAAACTCTATTTATTATGCCTAGTGTTGTTTATCCTCTGCCTGTTTTGAGAAGGAGAATTCCTGTGCAGACGTAATACACTCTCACAGACATGCTTGAGCCTCCTGCTGGGAGACAGAGAGCTCATAAAAGCACAGTCTTGTGATAAGCTGTGCATGCACAAAGTTCTTTCATATACTGGGGCAGGCTGTGGACCCTGCTGTCTCCACGAGGATGAAGTAACCCTAAGGGAGCTTGTGTCTCTGTGTGTCTCTGCCTCCCAGCATTGTTGGCAAGGTAACAAAATAAATTTACTCTTTGCATTTGAGCTGCGTTCTGCTGGTTGCCCTAGTTACCTGTCAATTGACACAATGGCTATCTAAGGATAAAAGTTCTTTACATTGAAAGGATAAAGTATATGTACTTTGCCACAGCACTATTGGAGATGGAAATTTTACTCACAGATAATAGTGACAATTTATCCCTTTTTATCAATGTTTATATCAGGTGATAAACATATGTGATATTGCAGTTTAGCAGATGAGGGTGGAACAGGAAAGGAAGAAAGAGAGAGAAGGAACTGAGAGAGAGAGAGATTGCAATAATTTTTTTACCTCAAAACTGCATATCTTGTCATTAAATAGCTTGGAAGGGTACCCTGGGAAGAAGCATGCTGCATGTGCTTGCTGATCAGCTATGAACTGGCTGTAGAGGCAACAGTGAATGAAAATTAGGTATATCTGTGAGAGAAACTGCAACCTACTTGACATGATCTATATAATGGTTACAGAGGAAATAGGAGAAATTTTAGATTCTAGGGCCCTAAAAATGTAGAATAATCTAAGTAATTAAAACTTTCTAATTTTCAGTTAATTACTCCTATTTTGCCTCAATGGATTTTTTTGCAAGAAACTAATTTTCCTAAGTTTGTCCCACAAATGGAAATCAGTCGTGCACCATGCACCATGTTGATATTGAATGTATGATCTATAATCCACTAAGTACATGCTATTTTTCCAGTATTTACCTGACAACAACAACAAAAAAAAAAAAAAAAACAAAAAAAAACAAACACCAAAAAACTAACCCAAAAAATCCCAATCCCAAACAAAAACCCCCACAAAAATGAAAATCAAACACCCCCATCCCCCAAATGAAAAAATGTAAACCACAAACCTCCCTAAAACCCCTTCTATGAGGTAAGAATTTCCCTTAACCCAACTTAAAGTTGTTGTCTTGTTGCCATGCTTGCACATCTGAGAAGAATCTGGCTTTGTCTCTTATCTATCTTCCAACCCAAATTACAGGTAATTAATGGATTTTCCCATTAAGAGGTACATACTACTTCCTACTTTTGCTACACAGTTTGCCCAAATTCTATATATGTTCTATTCTATATTCTATTCTTTTCTGTGTACATATATATTTTATTTTTAGTGACATGATCTAGGATTATGTAAGGTCAGAATTAAAAAACATTTATAAAAATGTTTAGAAAAGTTATAAGAAATTTGAAAAAAAAACATTAGTAAACCAAATGTTTGGGGAAGTAAATTATGATGGTGGGACTATTCTATTATTTAAATCAAGTTTTAAAAAAGGCAGAAAAGGTTGTTTCCTGAAAGAAACAATAAATGCATTTTATCAGTGTTAGGCATGAGAAGCACCTTGTGTGAACCAATTGAAAAAAATTATTTATGACAATATCTTCAATTTTTTGAGTAAAAGGAAGACTGTAATGGGAATATATGTTGAAGATTATTAGAAAAGCATAATTTAAAGCAGAGATTGTAAAAAAAGTTGGACTTAACTGAGAGTATGCAAAGTCAGGCAGGGAAAGAACCAAAGAGACCTGTCAAAGAGTTACAAGTAAATCTTAATCTGAACAATAATGAACAAATAAAGCTGAAGTAAGAGATAAAAGGTCTCAGAGGATAAGAAAATCACTCTCTGAACAAGACAATTGCTGTATTTTCTACTTTTCTGTAACTGTTACTGTACAAGTGCACCTGACTGGAGAATGCTTCTCATAGTGAATTTTGTCTTCAAGGAAAGCAAAATACTTTCTCAAACAATGCACCAACTATTTTTATAACACTTGGTGCTGGAGAAATTTCATACTATTGGGTGGTGAATTTATATCTTGGAATGCCAAAATTGTTAGCAGAGAAGTTCAACTAGGTGACTCTGAAGTTCCGTTCTAGCTTCAATAAGAAAATTTAACTTGTTTGAACTAGCAATACTAGCATTTGTTATTCACATAACAGTCTATTAAAACAAGCTACACTGTTGGATTGAACAGAAGATGAGGTTCTGGAGCAGCCTGATTCTGTTTCTCACCAGAAATCAAGTATGCAAAAAGTACTTTTGAAGACAATATAGAAGAAAAGACACCATTTTACATAATGTATTATAAAGTAAAATAATTATCTGCCAAGCAATAAATCACAGGGCTCCATTAGTTTGGGAAGACCTGGTATATATTGTAAAGAGACATGAGCATGAAAACAGAGCAGTTACTTGATGTGGGAATAGTATCTTTGTATTTCACTGGATGCAGTAAAAAAAACCCAACCTCTTGCTCTCCTGGTTGCATTAGTGAAATGTTATCAACTTTTACATGCCCTATAACATTTTCAATTAAAATGCAAACTATATTATGTATCCCATTCAAATTTTTTAAAATTTGGATCCTAACAGTAAGGGTTTTCTGTAAGATACAACAAATACAAAACTGGAAAGAAATGTATAATTTTCAATTATATAAAGTAACTCTTCAAAATTTATCTTCTTATTGTAGAATTACAGTCTAAAAAAATACTAACATGTTTCCTGTATGATTTATGAACATCTACATAGAAAGACTTCAAAGTTTATAAATTATTTTAGTTGTCGTTCAGGAGACACAAAACATCTCAATAGACTTTCCTCAAAGCTCAAAGGTAACGAATAAGATCACAGTCCTCAAGAAGTTCTGAGTGCATGATGTTTCGGTCAACAAAATATATTCCTCTGTTTTTAAGAGAAATTTGCAGAAAATATTCACTCACTTTCTTGAGAGTGAATACATAATTCTTAACTGTAAGATAAGATGCTGAACTTACGCTGAACATAGTTGCTACTGATACATCATTTACACTGCAGCTATAAAATCCCCTGCATTAGTGATACCCTCCTGCAGTTTGTGCTTGCAAGGGTTGTGATTCTAATAAGTGAATTTTACTAACGATTCTAGTGAATGCAAAATTTTTATATCACTGATATGTCTCCTGCAGGACATTTTTAAACCCCAAGAAAATAATACTTTTACCAGAATTTTATAAAAAAATATGAAAACTAGTTTCCAACACAGGCCAAAGAAGAATGAATTCAGATTCCAATAAGGGATTTTATGTTATATATTGTGTGTATACACTTGGAATTATTTACTTAATGTAACATATAGGGTGTTTTAAATTACTCAAAAATTTAAACTGCAATTATATAAACATCTGTAGTTCTGACTATTCAGATCACAGAATTTTGCAGTGTGTTTATTGTATTAAGAGTAATGTTCAAGATTTTCTTCAGGTTATTTTGAGTATTTTACTTATAAATTGAGTAACAGGGTAAAACACAGATCTTTTCAAAACAATATATAAACCGGATTCAATTTTTTAAAGAAAGACGATTTTTATCTCAGTTAAAAAAGCAACTAAAAATCTTAAAATAGCTGACAAAAATACCCATTTGCTCATTTTCATGTTTTTTTCTTTAACATTGAAATTTCAAAGAATTATTTCCAAAGATTTAAAGCAATTGAGAAGCAGTGGGGGATGAATATATAGAATCTACTTTTACTGGTACTGGGATTTGCAGATGAGGTTGTCTCTCCTCCTAACCCTTAATATACAATGTAGTGATTAGTCAGCCTGTACTCATTAAGGGAACAAAAGGGGAAAATACTGTACCCACAATACAGGTAAGGGGAGGAACCAGTGGTCCACCCCATCCAAGCTGAAATGCATCCTATATGGAATAGAAATATATAGCCTGTTATTAGTTGTAAATCTGTAATGACAGACACTTGATGCTATGTTTTATAGCTTAATTATATTAGAAATGTTTCTTTCATACTTTTGAAGTTTTGAGTACTCTTGAAAATGCCTCATTGCCACTTTTCTGGTAAGGGAATCTAAGGAATAGCCATTGAATTTTAGAGGAGATTTAAGACATCAAATACTCTAATTTAGATTTTAAAAGTTATGAAATTGGACTGGAAATTTGAAATACAGTAAATGTTTAAAGCCATCAGCCAGAAATATGCATAAGGCATGCAAAACTGAAAGTGCAAGTGGATTTCAGATTGTTTGCTGCCTTCTACTATTTCTCTAATAAATCAAGCACGGCATGACATGCTTTATTTTATGAAGTTAGACACAAATGCATGCTTTATTGTCACTTAATTCTCTAACTCAGCAAAGCAAATGTACTAAGTATTCTACATTTTCACGTAGCATACCAATTCAGAACTAGCGCAAAAGCATTATACTGCAAGTACTAAAAAGCTAAACAAAAAGCAATGGGTATATTCAAATCTCAGTTTGCAGCTACTTCTGCTTAGTACATACACTAATTGAGATGAGAATATAAACCCTAAGACAGAAATTTAAATTAAATTAAAGCAGTCCTTTACTTTGCCTTCCAGCATCTGGGTGGAGTTGGTTTTGAGATTCAATATAGAAAGTATTAAAATTTCTCAGAATTCAGTATACTAGCAGATATTCTAAATGCCTATAATATGGCAGAATTCACTTCTGTGCTTAAGGCAAGAACAAGCTATGGATCACCTGTACCCTATTTTGGTGCAAATGATTCATATATCTTATAGTCACTTTTGAAAGATAATTATGAAACAGCATAATTATAAAATTAATTGTAACTAAAGTGTATAGCTAAAGACTTCTAAGAACCTAACTTAAAATTTGAAGTCTGTTTCATATTTAGGCATAACAGAATAGTCATTAGTATGCACTGACTGTGTAAAATGCTGCACACATCCAATTTACCAGAATGAAAAACTTATTTAAGAGAAACATTGATTGAATTAAAGTAGTTGAGTACTTGGAAAATTGTTTTACAAAATGATGCAGAACTTCTTATATCCACAGCTTCCTGTGGAGTACTTCAGATATTTTACATTTTCAGTGAAAAATATGCACAGTTTTGAACATAGGTAAACATTAGAATTTAAATACATGCTGAATAAAAACTGTGTTTTATCACAGCTCAGTGTAGGTATGGGCAATATAAGAAAGCTAAGAGGGCTCTTTTATCTTTACTTTCTGCAGACAGAAAAAAGAATCTCTTTTTATGATTTCTTATGATATGAACTTGGTTTCTGAGAAGACTTCAATTTGACTATAGTTTTTTGAGCTGGTCAATTATTTATTCTTTGAATCTTTTTACTGTTCGTGAGTCATTCAAAAAGTAATACCAACAACTGTCAGTGGGCTGTTTTGAATACTTGCCAAGTGCTTTGGAAACAGCCCACTATTTCAGAAGGGCAAGTAGTAACTATAAGGCCTCTTTATATTCGCCCCGTCAAATCTGCTAAGTGACTGGAATCAGGTACTTCATTGACTGTCATTAATATTGGAGGATAGAGTTGAAGCATTTTTGCTTTTCCAAGCTTCTCTGTGATTCCTAACCAGTAAATTGCTCATTAATTATTCATGTTGTATAGCTGAAATTCTATCATATGATTTGGCTCCTGGCAGAGTTTCATAGTTATTCAGCAAGTAGTAGCAGAAAACAGTAAATAGATTTCAAGTAACAGGTACCTTAATAATAGTTTCTTTATGCAAAAATATCCTAGACATTTTAAGTGGAAAATTTTCTAAGGTGATCATGTAAAGATACAGAAAAAAATTAATAAAACATTTGACAATCAATTTTAACATCTTTTTAGAAATGGTATTTTCTTCCAATATAATTTTAATAGCTGCTTTTTTTTCCCTCCCTGCATAATATCTGTACTGGTCTCCCATTCCTCCTGCAGCTGACCAGAACATCATTAAAACATAAAGCTGACAGCAGTTTCCCAACATTGCTCTGCACAAAACCACACACATTTATCTGAATGTTCATGAACAGTATGTATGAAGAAAGACAAAGAGAAAATGGCTAAATCAAATAGTTGCATATTCTGTAGTACTTGACCAGCTCTTACCCTGCTGAATATCACTTCATGAGTTTCATATAAGAAGAAAACTGTTAAAAATCAATTTGCTGCATGAAGCTGAAATTTATTAATTCAGTAATCATTGGTTAGCAATGTATTTTCTGCTGCATTCTGAAGTGGAGATAGGTCGTCTGCTGAATACAATTTCAGGAAAAGAATTAGAAGCCTCAGTTTGACTTAATATTAAATTTTTTATTAAGATTTTGCATTGTTTCCTCTTATGTTTCCATGATGCAGGAAAAAGCATTCTCTTAAAGCATATTTCATTGACATGCATATAGAGTTAGTTTGTATTCAGTGGCTTTAAGGACCAGAAGGTATAAACAAATGAAAAAATAAGTAAAAATGCCTTCTTGAGTGAGATGAATAGTAAGCAGGGCCTCTAAATCATTCAGAGTAACAAGAAATAACTTTATAGACATTGTATTGAATATTGAATAGAGATTAGTTGAAATAAAAGAAGCATTTACCTTACAAAAATAATAACTTCATAGAGGATTCAAATAACTTGATTTGCTTTTTAAGTCAGCCAAACTCAGAAATAGATTTAAACCACTAGCGGAAATGAATGTATCGGTAATATCATCTAATGAAATTCAATGGAGTTAGATTAAAGGAGGTTTATAAAATATAATGAAAAATTAAGAAGTTTAATTTCTAGGAGAAAATATTTTTGTTAACTAATGCTAAATTAGATTCCTGTATAAATATTTTGATATATTTATCAGTAAATAAGTCAATACAATTGTGTTACATTTTATTTATTATTAGGACTCTGTTAAGAGAGTTCATAGTTGGCAATTTCAAAGACTCATATGAAAAACTCCTGAGATTGGCTAGAAAGTAAAGTAACCTTAATGAATGTAAGTTCTATGTGATAAATGTATATGGATTTAGGTGAATAGATGAAGCTTTTTGCTTATCTGTTAGTAAAAGATATGCAATAAAAAGATAGTGCAGCCTTTCTGCATGGACTTGTCATTCCTTGTTGTGCATGCATGTATTCCTTATATGCATGCATAGTTTCAGACACTTTCACGTTGTCTTACCCTCATGCCTTCAAATCGTGACAAAGCTCTTAGAGGTCTTAAAGCTCTTAGTGTCCTAAGGGACTTAATGGCACCAAGTTCAGAGTAACCCAATGCATTTGCTGTTAAGCTAACCAAAGAGACCTATATGAAAACAGGAAAGTAAAAATTATTATATGGTACATTCTACTTTACATACCATAGATGTGAGATATACACTTCGTTAGAAGATTCTAATTTTGGATCACTTTCTTCAGGAATAGGGAATCTTTCGAGTTAAAAAAAAAAAGAAGAAGAAAGAAGCAATATGAAAGGTGAATAGGTAAACAAGCAAAAATATCATAAGATAACTAATATCTGGAAACATTAGTACTTCTGAAATTCATCCTTTACTACTGATCTCAGGACATATAAACCCACAAAAACTGAATTACATTAATCTCTCCTTTTTACCAATTTAGATATTGGTCTTATTTTTCCTTTGTTTTACAATACTGTTGGGATCAGTAATTGTGGCCGATAATGTCATTTGATTGCCCACAACTGAAAGTGACTGAAAACTTTCAAGTTGTCTTAATCTAAAGGAAAATTAAAGAAAATATCCACTGTGTAAATCCAGCATATACAATGAAGCAATTCAGACACTTGAATATGTACTATACCTTCACATAATGATGTGATTCACATAATGATGTGATTCACATAATGATTTTCACATTCACAAGATGGCTGTGTGGGATAGTACAATTTAAATAAGGTCAAATATTAGAGAAAATTGGTTTAAAAAATTAACAGATGCTTCTGCTTGCATGCTTGTTCAAGCTTTTTTGTTGTAGGTGTCACTTAGGTACCCATTTTGAAAATTTCAATACTAAAGAGCAAAGTGTTTTCCAAGAGAAGGTACTTTATTTGTATAAAACATGGATACCTGTAGCTGTATATGTGGAGTTGAATCCTCAATATATTTAAACCACAATGTAAAGAAATCAAAAATGTTGTAAACACCCATAAAAAAAAAGGAGGAAAAAAAAACAAGCTGAAGAAAATTAATTGTTCTGATGCTCTAATTAGCCCTTTTATATGATGGGAACACATTGAGAAAGTGTTGGATTTTTGGCAATACTTTGAGACAATAAATTCCTATAAAGGTCTCTTTTTGTCTATTCAGTGTACATTTCTAAGTCATTGAAACAAGGACAGAAAGAATCTTAATTTTAAAACTGAGCTTGTTCAACACTTGGTTTTTGTATATGTTTTACCAGAAATTACTGTCTTGAAAATACAGTGATTGATTCTGGTTTTGTAACTCTATAAAGCACAGTATTAGAGGTTCACCCACAGAAATTCATGATCTGCAGAAACAGTACATATTCCCGCACACTGGTGTTTTTTTCCCCGGGGGTATACTTAGGATATTCTTAAATGCCCCATAATTGTATCAATGCATCAAGAAATATTCTCTCCCATTTCACAGCACAGTACCATAGAGCTAGAACTATGAGATAACCCTTGCAGAAAAGATTTCAAACATGCCTGTGAAGACTGCAAGCTCACTAGTACTTATTGAACTTCAATACTAATTAATCCACACTACCAGTGCTAGAGAGAGATATATCTTCCTTTCCTTGTGGAGCCCTGATATATCCACATGCTGAAATTTGTGGATATGATATTCATTTTCTTGCCAGAGGAGTTTTGATTCAGATGTTTGTCTGACGTCTGGTGGATCAGACACACATCTAAATGCTGGGTTCAACTTAGACCACAGCAGGAGGAATGATGGGTCTGAAGGTGGGAGCAAGTATCCCAGGCCAGAATGCAAGGCAGGATGACCTCTTTCAACAGCAGTGTTGGAAACAAGCCCCTAACTGCTGGGGGGCTACCAGGCAAGGTCCTTCTGTTCAGCAGGAGAACATCCAGCCTCTCTTAACACAGCAAGGCAGTGCTGCAAACATAGAGTGAAAGACAGAGAAACATGGAATTTTTCCAGCTACCTTACTTTTCAAATTGAAAAGTAAACTAGTCGGCATTAATATATATTATGGCTGCAGAGAAAGTAAGTTTAAAAATTATCAGAAAAATATAAAGGTGTCACATAGGAAATGCACAACATACATCGACAATCAGGAAGTCCAGCCAGCACCAGGCATTAGTAAAATATGTTTGGTAGCCATAGGCCACCCACTTCAGCAGCATTTCCAGAATGAAGATGTAAGTGAAGACCTTGTCAGCATATTCCAGCATAGTCTTGATAGTTTTACGTTGTTCAATATATATGTCTTCAAAAGCCTGTGAGTATAAGCATTCAAAGATATGTCATTTTTTGTTACTGCACACGCTTCAGGTTGTAACACAATAAACCAAAAAAGGCAACAAAAAAAGGAAATAATATTTAAGAAAAGGCAAGGATATGTCATTTCTATTTAATGTTTCTGTTTCTGATAACTCGGTATACATCTGTTTTTTTCCGTATGGAAATATATTTTCCAGGTCACAGGAGGAAGAAGCAGATATTACACAGCAACCACTACACTGGTCAGAGATTTTTAAAAATATATGTATTTATTGCTCATAGTGAATTATTCTTCTCAGATCATATTGCATAGTGACAAATGGAATTGATTCTGCCAAGTGTTGTGCTGGAACTGAATTCTGCTGAGATCATTTGGCTTGTATGTAGGTAGACCCAACTACAAAAACCAGGGCCATAGGTGTAAAATTTTCAGGATAATGACAATACAAGCTACCTTTTATTTTTAAATCCTCTGGCTTCCTGAAACTTTTAAGTTATAAATCTTAAATTAAGTTTCTTAAATCTTAAAAAAAAATTAGCTGTCTTAATCAATTACCTGCTTTATTATTCACATTTTATGTGATATATAAAATTTCTGAGCTCCTTGCAATGTTATTTTCATTTTTAGGCAATCGAAAAAACAAATAGCTCCTGCTTGTCATAAATTCTTCAAATTTTTTTTCCCTTTAATTGCTTTCAAATTTCAATTATGCTATTATTTCTTATGGAGACCGACTGATTTTTATCAAGCTGAAAGAACTGGAATGATCAGCTAGCTTGCAAAGATTTGGATATTTTTTGATATTAACATTCATTTTTACTCAGCTTGCTTTTGAACCATGTGACATCTGTCAGTTCAAGTGATTAGTGTCTGTATATCAGACATCAAGGTACGATCTGTGTTATTCTGGTTACTTGCATCAGGCACTGTGGTACCTGACACTCCTGTATTCACTAAAAATGGGAAGTCAGCACTTGTCATTTCATTTGTACAGGTGGGGGATGCCAGAGGCTGAGTGAGCAGCACGCCTGGAGGGAGGGAAATATGTCTGCTCCCTGCCCCTGGGGAGGGCTGTGCAGGCAGCCTGTGCCTGCTGCATTTCCTGGCTGTGCTGACAGTGAGATTTGTCTGGAGCATGGCCTTGGGGTGAATATGGGAAGCAGAGCTGGTAGGTACAAAGAGATCTTTTCACTATCACAATGGACTTTAAAGGGAGAGCAGAGTCTCACATCTCCAGAGACTTGAGCTAAGCCAGGGTCTTTGAAAGGTTTTCACAAAATAAAGGTTCTATGCATGACACACCTTAGGCTCACAAGCACGAGATACTAACGCTGTGGGATCTTGTCTCAAACTTCCTCTAAATATAGTAATAGAAATTCAACTTTTCCAGATCTCCTTCCACTACTTTTCTCATTTAAATTTCTTGTCACTGAAGACTTTCTGATAGTTGTATGAACCAAAATTCAGTGGTGTAAACTTGACCATTTTTTTGTTATTTGGAGGATTTTAAATGACATGGAAGGTGTCACATGGCATTGCATAAAAGTTGTTTTTCTGATGGTTATGTCGATATTAGATCAAACAAAAGAAGAATCATTCTTAAGAGATGTAGCTGAAACTAGTGATAGGTATTATGATAAACTGCTAACAGTATTAACAGTATTTTACAGTGTTGGCAGTGGTCTAATGAGCTTATAATACAATTTTGAAACACAATTTTGTTTATTGTGTAGGAAGTTAAGTAATCTGCCAAAGGGTAATTAAATCTGTCAGGGTAGATGCTAGATATACTCTGCATTATCTTCTAACAAATAGTTTGCCTAAGAAACGTCACCTCGGTATATTTATACAGGGTTTATTTCATTCATTGATATAGATTTTTATTATGGTTGGCTTCCCTTTAATCTGCCCTTGCATGCTTGTAAGAGAAAATTCATGTTTTTGCAGATGTCCCTTCAGTCTACATGAGTATGAGTCAGTGGAAGTTGAATTTTAAGTCTAAATAATAAGTTCTTATTCTTAGAAAGGAATTAAAAAACCCCATGCAATCTCAGCTTTTTTTTGCTGTTCTAGCACACAGCATTTATAGGACTACATAAGCCAGCCCTGGCCCTTGCAAGGTGTTTTGAACTGTTTATGCCATTATGGTTCCAAATACTCAACAGTGACAGTTCTTTTCCCTGAGCTCCATCAGTAAACAGCAGTGAAAGAAGGGAGCACACTCAAATAAAGTTTAGTATGTTCTCTTCTTCACATGTGGTTTCTCTCTGCCTGAGGCATATCACTGCCACTTCCAGCAATGGAGGTAGGCTCTCTCTAATCACTTATGTCTGTTCTTTTTTCTACATGTTGTTAAGAAGAGACTGTTTTTGCTGCTTTTCCCAAGGCCTGAATAAAATTTAGCCCTATCATTTGAAGACATGGAATTTTTAATTTTTAATTTTTAAACATTTAATGTTTAAGTTAAAACAGTATTAGAAAAGACAATTATAAGGAGTTTTCTGACAATGTGGAAACATTCTGTTCGTGTTTTACTTACCAGAGCTCCACTACTGAGAAGAATCATAAAGACAATGAAAGTCTCAAACCAGTTGTGTTCAACAATCCTGAAGCAGGTTTTTCTAAGGTTCCACCACTGCTTTCCTCTCCCTTCTTCTATACTTACTTGACAGCACTTGAACCTTCTTACACAGCCTTTAGAACATTGTATGTAATGACAGGAGAAAAAAAAAGAAGAGATTTTGTTGAGTTGCATTAATTTTGGTTATGCATTCTGTTAATAATATAATGCTATCTTTACTGCGCTGTTTAGTAAAAACCCAATGGATTTTCACCTAGATAACCTTCTTCTTCAAAGAAAACAAATTGAGACAGTTGGAATTTACAGTTAAATGAACAAGTGAGAAGAATGCATTTCTCATTTATCAAGAAGTGCTCAATACAGTGCACACAAAAAGATGAAAGTCTATCAAACATGAAACCAAATAACAGAATATAAAACAAGAGTTAAAATATAAAAACTCATCCAAACGTCAGGTAGGTTGATGCAGTAAGTTATGGCAAATGTTATTAAATTGTACCTTCTTTTGTTCAGGATACTCAATTCAGGCAATGTTGCATTCATCGCATGAAAAAAATTCTAAGCCTCTTAGCTAAATTATGGGCTTTTCAGTACCAGTTAATTTCTCTAACTTGTGCCCCTAATTTATTTTACACTTTTATGATTTAGCTGCTGACTTTTATGCAGAAAAATACTAGTAATAAATAATGGTATTTTCCATGACAAATCCTAGGCTGTTACAGTACTACCTCTTATGAATTCAATGTAAATTTCTAAAGAATTATCTGTTACCATGTGCAGAAGTAATCCAACCTGACAATAGCATTTATTCTCCAGTGACTAGATCTAACTTTTGTTTACAGATACCAAAAATAGCATTTGTATCCTGATATTATTATTTAAAAAAAATATTTCTTTATCCACCTCTTCACATGCACACATCCATAAGGTTTCTCCCAAAGAAATGCCACTGGAAAAACATTTATGACCAGATTGGGGTTTTATTGAATTGTGGGCCAATAGAGGGAAGAATGAAAGATAAAGGAGGCCACCAGGTTCTTCCCCCACAAGGCACACAAGACTCTTCCTTCTCTTTTTGCCAATTTGTAGAAGATTCATTTAGCATTTTTCACAAGACCATCTAGGTGCAGTTTTCATTTCTCACTAAACAGGTATTGTAGTAATGTATACTTTATAAAGCACTTAGATATCTGTGAAGAAAAATTTTAATTAGTGTGTTTATTATCTGTAACTAAACTCTGAAAGTACAGTAACACACTAAAATAAAACTTTCAATACCAAATTTTTCTTATTTTAAAACTAGAAATAAATTTCCAATAAAATCTTTTCTTAACTGTTTATCCAATACATAGCATAATTGTGGTATCAGTTTCCATATAATGTATTATGGACTAAAAGTACTACTGCTCATAATCAGAACTTAAACACTAACAAAAGGGTAATATGATTAATAAATCTTAATACTTAACTTATGCAGAAAATGGTTCTGTAATTCTATTAATAATTATTACTAATGTTTTTCTTCCAAATACCTTCTGTGAAGCAGGCCTCTGGCTCCTGGGCTTCTTCAGGTTCAGCTTCTGGTTGTTCTTCTGCAGGAAGTCCAATATCAACTGTGCTGCCTTCAGATGAGCTAGATGAATTTAACTTCTGTAAAGGAAAGAAGCATCACAAATGAAGAGCAAATATTTTAAAGGCAAATATTATTTGATTCTGAAATAATTAAATTAGACATTGTTTTTGAATGTTCTAGAGTTCAACATAAGTTGTTGATAAACATCTGAGAAATTTATACAGTCTGGTTTTCCTCCTGTACTGTAAGAATCTATAGAAGGTATATCAGTAACAAATCAGACTTCAAATAAAATTTTGCTTTAAACTGAAAAATGTGGGTAATGCTAAATATGAGAAGATTCATGACCACAACAAGCCCCAAGTCATAATGATCTCTTGACCTATGTAGAAATAATGAAGCTTAAAAAAATATACAGGAATTTGTAGTGTCTACTGAAAATCAGGTAAGAATCTAAAAATTACTGCATAAATGAGGTGGGAGCTCAGAGCAATGAGGGAAAAAAGCACAGAAGGCCATACTTCAGGGGTTAGTAAATCCAGATTAAAATTGCTGAAAGTCTAGCTCAGAGTGAGACAGAATCTGCATACAACAAGGCTGAGGTAGTTTAAGCCCGTAAAAAAATCAGATTGTGTTTATCAAAAAATTTTCAACATGATGAGCATAAAGACAGTGAGGCCTAAGTTGGAAAGCGAATTTAAAAAAAAAAAAGGAAAGAATGCACTTTAAAAATTCCTCAACTTGTAACAACATGCAATGTGCAGCTGGAACCTGGTTGCAAATTCTGTCATTGAAGCAATTTTAATGATTTTGCTATACAAAAAGTAATGTAATGTAATAGTAATAGCTTTAATATGCTTTTTAAAATTATAGTTTTCAAAAAGGCTTTATATCAAGTCTGCTTTAGCATTCCTTTAGCAACAGTAGATATTTTCATCTGTTGGTACTTTTCAATTTTAACAACCAAGTGAATTTGAATTATATAGGAGAGTCTGGTTAAGACTTCTTTTTATAGGAATCTAGGTGTAGAAGAGGTGAAAATTTTAAAATTGAAAAGAATTCATATGTCTAAAGGAGTTACATAAACTATTTATACATTTTCTTGTTTATATATGCTTTTTCAAGAGGCAGAGAGATGTATCACATTCCTCATGGGACCCTTGTCACAGAAGGCAAAAATTTCTGGTGGAATAACACTGCAGCTCAGGCACTGTCCCCTACAAGTTGTTATAACTACCATGTGGACCATACATAGTTTTTATGGATTAGTTGAGTCTCCCATTACATGGCCTTGTATCCCCTCTAGGAGGCTGTAATTCTTAACTCTTTCTCACACTTCCGTTCATCAAGAATTAAGTCCTCCTTTATACAGTCATTTATGCCTATCTACAAAGAAATGTCAAAACAAATGATTAAGCATTGAATACACTGGTTTATGAGAAGTAAAACAATAAAAACCTTAAACAATCAAACAAAATCCCACATAACAAAGACCATCAAAAGACCAGAGAGAAATGCAAAAAATAACTAAATACCTCTTTGCTTTCTTCCAGGTCTGATTCACTACTAAATTCTTCTGTGTTTAAATTTTCAAAGTCAGATTCACCCACAGCAATGGGCACTGTCACAGTGAGGCTTGGGTTGTTTATGAATGACATGTAATCACTCTCATCAATTATGTATTTTTCCACACTGCTGCCTGTGCCTATACCACTGGTGGTTCCATTTGGATCTTTAATATAGTCATGGTCCTTGCTTAGTTCCACAGTTGTATGGTTAGAAATACAGCTATTTTTGTTGTTTAAATCTTCAAGTGGCTTGATCTCATCTAAAGCTTTCTGTTTTTTAACAAAAGCTTTTTGGATGAATTCACGTGCTTTTCTCTTCACATAATCTATGCCTTTCTGCATTCTTGCCACAGCAATCTGGAGATTGTTCATTTCATTATCGTCGTCTGTCACAGCAAGGTTGTCTGCACTAAATGAGCTCAAGAGCAAGGCCAAAAATAGGTTCAGTACCTGCAGAAAAAAAAATTTTAAATATGTTCTAGGCTTCATTTTAAAAATAACATTTATTTTGTTAGAAAATGTCCTATTATTGACATCAAAGACTGAAATCCCAATAATTCACCATAACCAAAAAAGTATCCTCAAAATTTTTTCTCTTCTCCATAAAAACCAAGCTTATTTCACTTAGCTCACGTCTTGCTCACTATTCAAAAATATTTGTACGACTGACTAATATCTGTAAATGTGTCTTTAATTCCCTACAGTATGTAAATATTTTGGTGTCAAAGCTTATAATATAAAAATGGAGCTATCAGATTTGCTGTTCAACATCATTAAAAAGCTTCATTTATCCCATCACACAACAGAAACTAGATTATTCGGGTGACTAATCATATGGTAAAAATAATAAAAGAAATCCACAGCAAATGATCTATAAAGAGCTCATAAACTAAAATTATTTGGAGCACAAAATATTTTCAAAGGGCCAAAAGAGAAATTAGCCACATTCTTAAGTGCCCACTTGGACATTCTTAGGATTTTGACATAGCAGAATATTTTGTTCTGTATCCAAAAAGGCTCTTAAGCTTAACTTTAAGCATTTCTTGAAACCACCTGCTTAAGTGCTTTGTTGAAGCGGAGCCAGAGCACTTAGTTCACTTCAGGACTGAGACCACTCTCTTGCCAAATAATTTTTTGTTAATACTTGGATTACATACCACTAGGTTTCCAATCACCATGACCATCATGAAGACTGTAAGGCACATGGCTTGGCCTGCAACCTCCATGCAGTCCCACATGGTTTCTATCCATTCTCCACAGAGCACTCGGAATACAATCAGGAAAGAGTGGAAGAAATCTTGCATGTGCCAGCGAGGGAGCACACAGTCACTTGCAATTTTGCAGACACATTCCTTGTAGTTTTTCCCAAAGAGCTGCATCCCAACCACAGCAAAAATGAACACAATGATGGCCAGCACCAGGGTCAGATTCCCCAGAGCTCCCACGGAATTACCAATGATTTTTATCAACATATTTAGTGTTGGCCAGGATTTTGCCAATTTGAAAACTCGTAACTGGAAGGAAAGAAAAATATTGTTAGGAGAATCAGAAAGACACAAGGATATTTTAAAGTTAATTTGTGGAAGGATATTGCTGTGAAATATGCCTTTAGTTGGATTGTTCAGAGGGTATCATCTTCTCTAAAAGCACGAAGATGGAAGTTTCTCTCAAGAAAAATTTGTAAAATTGTAATTTGATATTCTCAAAACATAGCTTTTACTGGAGGCCAAAGAAGCTACTGATTTGAACTTGAAACTAGTATTTGTAGAGATCTGTTCCTGTGATGCCAATCAGAGCATAATACCTCTAGTGAGTCAATTTATTTCTGCATAGTGGGATGTTTAAAGTGTGTGTATACAATGGACATATTGGAAATAGGCCCACGGTACCTACTGCTATCTGTTTGGATCTCTATCAATTTCCACTGAAGACTGTAAGATACAATTACTAAGGAATTGTGCTAATGAAACTGTCCTCAGGATCAGTATCATGGCAAACATCAAGCAAAATTTTAAGACAAAAATAAAATTATTTTAATGAAGCCACGTTATAAAATAAGTACAATATATTTACCAATCTGAATGATCGAAGAACAGATAGTCCTTCCACATCTGCAAGACCAAGTTCAACCAAGCTAAGGGTTACAATAAAGCCATCAAAAATATTCCAGCCTTCCTGGAAATAATAGTAAGGATCCATTGCAATTATCTTGAGAAACATTTCTGCTGTGAAGATTCCCGTGAAGACCTGAGTTCAAAGGGCAGTTTGTTATTTCAAGGTGAAACATAATACTCTAGATCTAGTTTAATTCAAGCCACATCTTATCCAAAAGCAATACTTAAAAATAGTTACATTTACTGTAGTGATTTATTATGGCCACCTTCCCTTAACAAGTGTCAGAAAATCAGGTAATTTTTCTATTAATTACATTTTTTACTAAGCAAATTACATAAACTTCTGTTTTATAACATTTGAAATCCATTTTCAGCTTTCTAAGGATATGGACTTTATAATGTGAAGTACAAACAATGTCCCAAATTTGATTTTCAGAACATAAACCAGAATGCTTTCCAAGAAATTATATAGCTCTTTCTTGGTGTACAAATTACAAATTAGGCCAAATATAAGACTAAAGAGGGGAAGTTTCTTGCCTGCTATGACCTGCCTATAATTCAGTTCAATAGAGCTGTGATTATTTATACCAGATGAATAAATGGTATATTATAATGTACCTCAGTTAATACAGCAACTGAGATACATGATGATGTGCTGAGATACGACAGTTTCCTGAAGCTGAGTAACTTATACCTAGGTGTGCCCAGAAGCAGCAGCAAAGTTGGTTGGCTTAAACACTTCAATATCAGGAATAAAAGAGTAATTAAGAACGCATTTTAAACAAAGTGCTGCTGGTAGTGGTTTCTCATAATGTGTTTCCGTGCTGAAAGAAGTAGGAATTATATTTAAGACCCACCACAGTAATAAACCTGGGTAGCTTTGAGAGAGGTCTTGGGAGAAGTTCTTCTAGGATAGGAATGCACTAGTCCCTGTTAAAAACTGCTTGAGCCCTGCTCTGACTGGTTTTCTGGGTTTGTGTTTTTTTTTTTTTTGGTTTTTTTTTTTTCTGGTTTTGATAACCCATTTTTCAGCAAGCGGAAAAGAAAATAGGACAGCTAAAGAAAATAATCTAAGTGGGATAATCAGGAGACAGAAGTCTGACTTGCTCTGCCTAGGAACACCAATACTCAAGATAGATTGTTATAGTCTTTAAATACACTCTAGATACAAACACCAGAGAGGGAAAGGTTACCAATTTTTAAAATATGGGATTGGAACCCCTGAGAAAACAGGGGAATTATACCGTTTGAAATGCTGACAGGTTCTAACAATCAGAACAGCACAAGAAGCTTTAAAGTGGAGCAGGCAACCTTTGAGGGCTTTATGTCAGGGAGCCTAAAACTGGAAAAATGTGGTGCTTATAGACAGGTTCTCTCACACTCCATTTGTAGTCAGAGGTACACCAAGATTTATAGGGAATTTTCTTGGTTGGAAAACTAACCTATAAAATGCTACAATACAAGATTTTACATTTTAATAGGAAACAAACATTCAGCGTTTCCCTTATATTAAGTATATGAAAATCGGCTGTACAATTTTCTATTCATTCTCCCCCCTAAATTCTATAGCTATTTACATGAACTATTTGTTCCTCATTACAAAACCAGGACTATTAAAAATCACATTATAAGGAATCAATTCTTAAAGAGGAAATAAAGTAGGACTGTAGCTACAGATACTTCTATGTGATCAAACCTGTCAGTTCAAAAGCAGGAGAACTACAAAAAGTTAACTCATGAAATCTTTAATAATTTATCTTTTTGAGGCAGAGAGAAAGGGAGAAAATATAGCTGACAGCCTGAGGAAAATATATCTTACTAATTATCAGAGGATAAAAACAATAAAATGTAAGAGAGAAATAAGACTGTGGGATATTTTTTTACATAAAACACAGGAAGAAAACAATCCACTTTTCCATATAAAAAGAAAATTTTGCACAAGAAAATTCTAGAAATGCTTTTAAAGGGATCTTTTAGCTATTTTAAGTTTCTGCGCAGGAAACAACAATTAAAACACATTCATAATTTAAAGATTTATATTCTATTGATTGAGAAATTAACACTGCATTTATTTGCATAGTGTCTGTTTCATGGAAACAATGCATTTCCTGGTTTAGTAGTTACACAAATCAAACTCTGCTTAAGATGGACTTTACTTAATGTAGCATTGGAGCCAATTTTTAAATTTTTAATTTGCTTTTGCAGAACACAGCAGTATATTGATTTTACAGTATCCAAAGCTACATGAGTCAGGGTTGACAGTCAAATTTCTGAAAATGTTCTGATACTTATATCTGAAGGTCAGTAAATATCCAAAAAGCTGTTCAAACCTTCTCTTTCAGTTATTACAGGCATATTTCCTTCCAAATCATGAATGTAAAACCCCAACAAACTTACCAGATTTCCAACTGAAAGTACATTATTGAATTCGTCGGTCATTGGATAATGTTCCATAGCCATAAAGAGTGTATTTAAAACAATGCAAATTGTAATAGCCAGGTCAACAAATGGGTCCATTACCACTAAGTTGACAAGATGCTTAACTTTTAACCAATGTGGACTGCAGTCCCAGATCAAAAAAATATTTGCAAATTTATACCAACACGGTGGGCATTTCTGTCTCGATTCTTCAAGTTCTGTGGAGAAAATAAAGTTTATATATGTAACTATGTGATTTCTCTAACATTCCTCATTGCAATATGAACTGTAGTAGTCAAGTTTTCAGTCTGTAGTGGTAATGATTAACCTCCTTTAAGCCTCCATTCCAGAGGGATTTTAAGGAAAGCCTTTAAAAATTGCTGTAGAATATATCTGCTATGTTCAAAGCTTATCTGTCAAGCACAATTTCTTTGTATTACAATCACTATGCCAATCAGTACCAATTTATGCATCAGTCTGTAATATGTATTTAATTTTTCCCTGATTACACTTCAGCTTGTTTCTCCCACCTACTGTTCAGTATGTAAATATTTTTATTCTGAAATTTGTAGCATTTAAGTGAAAATGTTCATTCTGAATTCAAGAAAAAAAAATTTTGATCACCTAAAATAGTTTTACAGAGTGACTGAATAAATATAACTGCAAAATGCTTATATATTTTAACAATAGTTGCATATATTTGAAAAATGTTCAGTGGTTTTTTTGTGTCCAACAACACATTTTTAATTACTATGCATAAGTACCCACTCAGTTATGACCATGCACATGAGTTAGATGGCAACAAAACATGAAATGCTTCCTTATGTAATACCTTTAATGCTTAGTTATGCAATAACCTTAATAAATAAAGAACTTTGAATTTAATGATAAATATATGTCAGTTTGTTGGATGTTATCTGTACTTAAGGTATTTTAAATCTGTTTTCAAGTTTCAACTCAAACTTTTAGAAATCTACAGGACAAACAGGATTAAATATTAAGCTATGCATAGCACACACCTTCCACAGTGTTTGTGAGGATGCTAGCAATACTCATGGCTCTTTCCCTTAAAGCTGGATCTTCCAGGAAGTCCATAGAAACATGAAAAGAACCTGATAATCTCTTCCTCATTTCTGGTTCTGTCGTGGTGCCCTATACAGAGAGCAATAGTAGGTGAGACCACACTGATGAAACAACCAGATAAGCAAATACTACATAAGCCTGTTAGTAGTGTCAGCTTGGACACGTGCTCCGTGCACTTCATATTTTATCATGTCAGACTTTTATTACTTTTTAGTACCTTTTAAATAACTTTAGAATTCCATTAGATTACAGGTACCTACAGTTCAAGATTGAGAGAGTCAATATTGACTCAATTTTTGCATTTTTTCTTTAAGATATGAAAAGTCTTTAAATATTTAAACCAATTGAAACAAACGGAAAAGGGTTGAGTTCAAAATATTGCACAAAATTTTGCAAAATAATTTTTTTTCCTTGCTCCTGTTGACAGAATATTCTGGGGTTTGCAACATAATAGTCTTTTCTCCTAATCAAACTGTAGCAAGTAAGAAAAGTCTGACTTCCTCATGCTTCCTCATGCTAGTATTTTTTAGCAGTCTGAATAGACAAATTTGAACTAAGCAAGAAATTTTGGAGACATTTTCTCTTACCTTTGTATGGTAAGAGAATGGCAGCAATATGTGCTGCCAATATGTTCACACAGCCATTTGCATTTTTAGAAGTATGTACTGAACTTTGATCTTCCAATGAACTATTTGTTGTCTATACTACAATACTCCACCAGCAATGGATGGAAAATATATAGGAATGAGAAATAAATGGTAATAATTGACAACTTCCTTACATTTTTAACCAGGCTGATAAGGAAGAGTGATATCAAAATTAACTAATAATGCTAATTTTGATAGTGGTAATACAGCATCATATTGATAGCAGTTATATAACATTTTTGTATAATATTTCCCATTGTATGTCAACTATGATAGCTAGATGGACCGTTAGATTAGCTAAAGGAAAGTATGGCACAGTAATACAGTGAAGCATAGCATTTTTATGAATGTGTAAGTTATTATTCTATTAGTTGGAAACTGGGACTCGCATTTGTTAGTTATGTGAATTTTTATAAGCAAATGCTTAGCTTGCAAACCTAGCTTAGCTGTTTTATTTACTAAAGAGTTTACAAGATGCAGGAGCATTCATAGCTTGACCAACCAGGAAGCATTGCCAAGGGTTCCATTCTGTAGAAAACACTGGCTGGTACAGTAAGAACAGGCCACCATGCCTGAGCTATTTAAAACTTTCTTACATTGTCATCAGTAGCTGGTTTATCTATTATCACCTCTGGCAGAAGCTGTCCAACAGGCGATGTGGGAACAGATGGTCCACCAACCAGGGAAACCACCCCATTGCAATCCACAGTGCTGTGCATCTTCCCATTCACTGGAAACACTGCCAGCATCCTGGATGACCTACTGGCCTGGCTGATGTTACTGTTGCGCCGCTCTCCGTGCCTGCGCGGCACAAAGAGCGAATCTCTTCTGCTGTCGTTGTCTTCAAAAGTGCTGTGCTCGTCATCAGCAAAGTCATTTTCTGACCCTACATCCTTTGCTCGACCTCTGAAGCTGAAAAGACTCGTTCTGCTGTTGCGTCTTGGGGAAAACAGGGAGCCACGAATGCTCAGCAAAGACTGCAGGTAAATAAAATATGTGATTATTAGCTGAAATCCTCAAACTTAGCACTGTTATTAGATTATCATTGTTTTTTTTTTTTTTTCTTAGATAAAAGTAACCATGTTATCCAGAAACTACATGCTGCTGTGGAATTTTTGCACATATTTCCCAATATTTTGCAGATAGAAGTATCCCTGTTCATGGATTCTTAAGACAAAACCAGTGCTGAACCCTCCTTTTTCTGTTGAAGTTGCCAAATAGATTAGTTGCATAAATCCCATCAAGAAAAAAAGGAAGTCCATACATGCACTTTGTTTCATGTTTGAAGGATCTCACCCACAGTGAACAAACACTGGGTCTAACTAACATCATTGAAAGAAGAGGAAAATGTGAGGCTATCATAACAGAAAAAATACTGTAGCTTTTTAACAAGTCTAGGTAATATATAATCATGCTAAAAGGAACCCTACATAATCAATCAGAGAATATTTTATTATGATTTTTAAATAATACTATTAGAAGAACAGAGAAATGAGGTTACATTTAATTCTGAGGGTATTTTTTATAAGGCCATCTAGCAGCTAGAGCACTTCCTCTCAAGCCCTAGCAACACTAATTGAAGTAATAAAAGTATCAGTATTTCCTTTGTTTATGCAGTAGCATCATATTACTATACTTTAGGAAGACTAAAGTAGTTTTGCAACAGCCTGTGATGCTTTAAATATGCTTTTACTTAAAAAAAACAACTATAAGCAATACCTGATGTGGAGAAGAATACTTCTTTTCGTATGTCAGTCTATTGCCTTCAATAGACAATCGGAACCCTTTCCTTCTGATGCTGTCTTCTGATTCAGACTTGTGAAATTCATCTTCATCTTTTTCCTCTCCTCCAGACTGTTCTTTCTGTTTCCTTTTTTTCCTTCTATTTCTCCTCTCTTTTGCGCTCTTTGAGCTCAATTTTGATGCATCTGAGGAACTTTCTGAGAGCCCTCCTGCTTCTCCTGCAGCACTGGGCTCCCTGGATTCTGCAGATGCTGTTACTGCTGCTGCTGCCACTGCTGCCGCCTGCCATGATGCAGAAGGAATTGAATAAGCCATGACCTAATGTTTTCCTTTAATTTACTTATACGTAAATTCTACTCCAAAAGTCCCAGATCTTAACACTTTCTACATGGTATCCTTTCCATAGCTTTTTCTTCTAATTATTATTTATTAGTTGACTCAAGATATGTGTTGGTCATAGACTTCTCTTATCTTTCATAAGTAAATTTTAAATGCAGAAATCTACCAGACTGTGTTAATGGCACTAGACTAGAAAAACATAGTGAATAACCTATACCTAGTTTTGAATATTCCTTCTTGATGGCTGAATCATTCACAATACCCTTCTTCAGTGCAGAATAGAAAACCACTGAGCTAGCTCAGTCACTGAAAGGCCAACAGGGTACTTTATATTTCCAATTTCAGAAAGCAGAAGTTGAATATCTCTAGTAAACTCATTTTCTTACAGTCCTGCATTACATCACCATAAACGATACCTGTGCTGCTTCTTGTTGCTTCTTCAGTTGTTCCAGCATCTGTTGAAATTCTGCCTCTTTCTGCTCTGCTTCTTCCAGGGTTGCTTGGTTCTGTTCTTCATAGGCCATGGCAACCACAGCCAGGATCAGGTTTATCAGATAGAAAGAGCCCAGGAAAATCACCAGAACAAAAAATATCATGTATGTCTTCCCAGCAGCACGAAGAGTCTGGAAATAATAATATGTTAACAGTTCTGTTTTTCATACTGTTAAAATTCAGATAAGAAAATTGACCCTATACCTTTTGCATCACTGATACAAACATATTTGGTCTACTTTTCATTAAAAATTTCTCACCAATTGGTAAAGGTTTTCCCAGAAGTCCTGAGTCATTAGCCGAAACAGTGACAAGAAAGCCCAGCTGAAGGTGTCAAAACTTGTGTAGCCATAATTGGGGTTTCTACCAGCTTTCACACAGGTATATCCTTCTGGGCACTGCCTACAAAGACAAACTGGACATTACCTATTTGGTAATTTTAATATTATCAGCTGGATATTAGTATACTCATATCTGCAGCCAGAACTGCAAAATAACATGTTTTGCCAGGTTTTGTCATCAGGTATTGCTCTTCCTTTACTTATCAACCAGGCAGGAGCTATACTGATACTAAATAACTCATTCATCATGCAAATACTCAGTTTATTTGACCAGTCCACTGAACTCTGATCAAGAATACAGATCTTAAGCCCAGTGTAAAAGCCTTATGTGAAAGGAAGTGGTCACTCAAAATAAGCCCCACTGGAACTACAGATCTATGGAATGTAGATCTAATTTCTACACAGTGCAAGAATATGATATTCATTCTTACCCAGCATCAGAGCTATTTCCACAAAGCAGAGCATCGCTTTGCCCTTCCAGAAAATAAAAATGACCTGTTTCAAAGAGAATTAAAAAGGTTATAAAATTCAAAATATAGCCATTATTTCTAAAAGTTTTAAGGTGATTTCTGATCCAATTTTAAACAAGCAGTGCTATTTTCTCAGCAGGACAACAGTTTTAGAGTAAATGACATTATGAATTTCATTAAGCACTATCGCTCACAGCATTCACTGTTAAAATGCCAAAATTCACTAAAACTTCTGTCAAATGCTTCTGGATGTATATTCTCCCTTCTGTCGATCACTGAACTAAACAATGCTTTGTGAAATATAGTTGTTTATTAGAATAATTACAATCTATCTGAAAAAATATTCTCATTTCCTCAAAACTGCCTGATCAGTGTTGCCAGGGGTTTCAGTTTGTTGCTCACAAGCACTTGTGACAGTTATCTAATATATAAAACCTGCAAAAATCCACCCATGTACCACTGGCTCTGATGGCCATGGGTATGCACACACTGCAGTTGTAGCTCTCTGACTCTATGAAGGCCCTGGCATACACCTAAATTCAACTCAGACATAATTACTGCAGCAGTCAAAACTTCTTAAATAAAATTTTAAGAGTGCATGACAAAATTATTGAACACCTTAGTAAAATAAATTGGGTAAGTTCCACCAAATCACCCTGTAACCAATCATACTAATGTCTGTACAGTAATGCCATAGTTAAAGGACATATTAGATGGTTTAAATAACAAAGACATTGACCTATCTCTTCTTACAAGAACAAGGAGATGAGCAAAACTTTGTGCTTATCAAGATTCATCTTGACTGTATCCCAGAGAAGTGTTTTTCTTTTCCACTTCAAAGCATATAGCTACAGTCTTGATTGCTGAAGTCTTGATTTTTGGAAGAATTATCACAGGAGAAGCTTCTCCTGTAATAAAAATCTCCCATTTGGTCACAGGCATAAGGATGTTTTATATACAGGGTCAGACTATGTGTCACATTTCTGATGGAATCCAAAAGTATTGCCTCAGCTTCAGAACCAAGGTAGAACCCTGTTTGCTTCCTGAGACCATTTAAACCCCATGTTGGATTTCTTTCCTATTTAATTGTTGTGTTAGATTTCCCTACAATTATCTCCTTTGAAAATGAGTGCAGGTGACTTTCAGCTTGACTCTACCTGTGATGCCCAAGCCAGGCTACTACAGTGACTAATGAATTCAGAGTCTGAAGAGGTGTCACAAGTTGCTGGCTCAGCACGTATTGATTTGCTGCAAGAAGGAACACAGTACCTGAGCCAGCTGCATCACTCCATCCTGTGAGCAAAATTCCCCATTTGGAAAAATGAGTCTTTAAGCTGTATGTAGACCTTGTTCTGACACTTTGCAAAGGACTCATTTTCAGTGTCTAATGATATATCCACATCTCACAGGGAACAATCTCCTGTGCTGTGCCAATTGTGCAGCCCTGTGTGGCTGCTGTCACTCTGAGCAGCAGAGCTGCTCTGTGCTGAAGCATGGCTGTAAACAGAAAGCTGACAGGATGCTGGCCAAAGCTGACCCTTAGGAAGCAAATTTGATTCTGCCTTATGTCAGCTAATCATGATTAAAAGATGCTGGAACATAGCAGCTTGTTGGGAAGAAATCAAACCTGCCTTGATGCGGTTTACATGGAGCAGTCAGTCCTGATCAGCACTGCACCAGCTGAGCTGAACTGCTACAGCAGGTCTGCAGTCAGGTTCTGTGCTTCAGACAAGATGTGCCCTGCAATGGTGCTGTACTTGCCAGCTCCACAGAAACTAGAGTCACATAGGCTTTCTCTGAGTGCACTGATAAACTTGGGCAAGTGCTCAAAATATTATAAAATAGGAAATTTTTTATAACACACAAGCTGAGCAGTATAAGCATGTATATCAAAGAGAAGTAAAAATACCTCATTACACCAATGGTGCAGGTTTGGCTCCTCTTTAATTGATTGGGAAATGGGAAAATTTCCCTGGTAGGTGAGCACTTAACTTCAAGAAAGATTAAAGCTGTTTGAGTAAGCATAGAGTATAATATGAGAAGCACAGAGAATAATTTTTATTTCATAAAATAGATTGTGAGATGCTTTTCCTCAGAAAAAAAATTGCTTATGGAAAGCTTGTTAAGACACACTTCAGCTTATGTGGAGCTAAGATTACTAGAATTCTTAGAAAAAGAAAAAAGTGGGAAAAAGAAGTGCTTGACTCATTAATGCCAGGAATGCTTAAAGACCCTCTAAATGGTGTCTCCAAAAATGAGCTTAGTGGTAAAATTAGGGCTTTCATGCATTTTTCTGCATAGTACGTACAACTAATGCATAATAACTCCCATAATTCCCACAAAAGACACTGCCATTGCACTGCTCTGAGCTGCTAGTAAAGAACAGCTTATTGCCTTGTGAAGCAGCTGGTTTTTGTATCCTGTCTCCCCAGCCACATGCAAAAAGAGAGCAGGAAGCTGTGAGAAGATAATTTTTTTCTTTGAAACTGCTGGTAAGAAAGGACAACCCATTAACTTCATAATAAGACTTGTAATTTCATTATAAATTTCATAATACATATGGAATTCTGTAAATATACCAAAGGCAGATGTAGCCATTCAGTAAAGTATTTCCTGGAACAAATTGAATTGAGCTTTATTTTCAGGGGGCTTCAGGTCTTCTTTATATAAAATGAAATCAGAACTTAAATTTATAAATTCTTTGTTTAAAAGTCAGGAAATTAAGTTTAGCCTTGAAGTCTAGGCCTTCATTAGGAGACTGTTTAGACTGTCACACCCCATGTCATGGGATCGCCATGAATTCACATGTTCAAGTAAATTGAGTTACACAGAAAGATTGGTTTAAGAAATTCAACTGGAAATCCATGATAGTCATTGATTAGCTGTGTGATCACAGATAGAAGCTGTCTCACTTCTACTCAAAATTTGTCTGGCTTTGACTTGCAGCTATATTATTATATCTCTGCCTGCTAGATCAAAGATATGTCTACGATGAAAATTCTGTTCCCCATAGATTTTTTTTTTTTAACTGTGATCAAATCACCCCTTAAACCTTCTCTTTGATATGCTAAGTAGGCTGAGCTCCTGGTCTATCTTGGTATAAAGCATGTTTTCAAACCCTTTAATCATTCTGCTCTTTTTTGAACTTCCTCCATTTTTTCAACTTTCTATCTAAATTGAACTTTTTATAGTATTCCAGTAGCTACTGCAGTACTGCTAAATACAGGGGTAATTCTGTCTTCCTGGTCAATAATTTATTTATGTGAACAGGATATTATTTAGCTTTTTGGCTGCAGACTTTTAGCCTTAATTAGTCAGTCTTGGCTGCCCTGGAGTCCTTAGGTGCCTCATCCTCTATATTGTTTCAACTGCATTTCTCTATCCTGCCTTTCAGTTTCCCTGCAGCCTTACACATAAGCTGCTGGTACTGTTTCCACGAGCCTCCGTGGCACTATTTTTCCTGTGCCCTCATGTTTTTCTTCATGTCACTTTTATTCTCATGACATGACACTTGCAAACACACTATTGCCACAGCAGATGGCAGGAAGCAATTGTCTCTGGTGTGAGATTAATCTCTTTTTCTCCTCCTTTTTTCTATTATTTGCTTGTGACTTTTTATTAGATGACCTAATAACATGCATGTACAAGCTTAAAAACCAGTCAGCCATGCAGCACCCACTCCGATCAAAGAGCATTCCAATTAGTGCTAATAGCACTGTAAGAAGGAGCAAGCTGTAGGGAATTTGAGGAGATGATAATGAAAATCACAGAGATGCTCTGGGAGAAGTGTTGTGCTGCACTGGAAGGGATACTCAAGTGAAGAGACTCACCTGGAGACCTCATGACTTCTCTTTGCAGCTGGTCACTGTAATCTCTTTCCCTTTTCTATCTCTCTCTCCCCTTTAGTTCTTAATTTACATCTACAGTCTCTGTGTGCAAACCTGTCTTACACCATGAACTGTGAGCATTGAATTTTAAGACTTTCTATCTCAGGGGAGATGTGAATTTGGCAGATGTATTTGACAAAAAGAGCTATTCCAAGTAGCAAGACCATGTTCCTTGTTCCCTCTTCCATGCAGGCCTTTAGAGCAGATGCATGAGAGAAAATATTTCTCCTACTCTGTCTTAATGAAATGTATTGTCCTTCCCCTCCTTCCTTCTAAGAACTGGGTCAGCCACAAACCACTTCAGTGAGAATTCTGCAGACAATACTTACTTTCATCTTCAATGTACCCCTTCCAATCAAATGGAGTCACTGTTGAATTAACCAATGTACCATTTTCACCTATGGTGCTGTTTAGCTGGGAAGTTATATTTGTTTCCAAAGTAAAATTTTCTGGAGGCCACTGCAGGCATTTATTCCTCAGGTTGCCCATGAACAGCTGCAGCCCTATCAGTGCAAATACACTCAGACAAAACACAGTCAGGATCATCACATCTGAGAGCTTCTTCACAGACTGAATCAGGGCTCCTACAATAGTCTTCAGGCCTGCAAATGGAAAGGAGTTTTTATTCTGATGTTTGAAACTTTTTCAAAGCACAAAAATGACAATGTCTCCCAGTAAAGTTATAAATTTCATGCAAAAGCCCAAATACATGATTGTAATGTCCGTGAAACAACATTTTTGTGAAGAACTTTTTCATTTGTGAAAATGAATAAACAGCTGAAATTTATGTCCACTTGGAACTGTGAATGGAATGACTTGCATATATTTCAAAACAACTTGTTTCAATGATAAAACAAGCAACTGTTTTTTATTCATGCTGTACACTGATCTCACGTAAACATCTTCTTTCTTTTCATTTGGCAATACATCTTGCTCCAAACCTTTACTACTATCAGTTTTATAACATACTAGATGTAGAACACAGTAGTAAAAAGCCTGTTCAACAATAAATAGTATTCAAATTTAATGCTATAAAACTGGAAATGGTTTGGAAAATTGTAGCTTTTTAAGATAATAAATCCCCCATGCAACACCCATGCTATTCTTTATTATCTTATTCCTTCATCTTCTTAGTAAGTCAACATTTCAAACAGTTTTATTTTTTAGACACATAGAGTCATGAAAAATACCACATAACATCATGTAGGTAGGATACACATGGGTAAGAAAACTTTAGGGTTACTAATACTCATTGAATGTGGAGAAGAAAGCTGGACATCATACGATGCAAACCACACACACTGTGTACTGCAATGTCTCATGCAAGAATCTGTTAAACTCAAAGGCTGATTTCAAAAGGAAAGTGCTCATTTTCAAAAGCAATGAATCAGAGATTTCAGTGAATCCTGATATCTTCTGATTCCTGCTTTTTTTGTGGAAAAAATAAGATTTATTTTTAAAAATATGAATTCTGTTTTAGTGAATTAAAGTCAGCCTCAGTGTTTAACCTCGCTCTCACCTGGAATGACTGATATTGTTTTCAAAGCTCGGAGAACTCTGAATGTTCTCAACGCTGAGACATTGCCCAGGTCCACAAACTCTGTCACATATCTGTAATAGGGGAGTTCACACACAAACACAATGACAGGATAAAAAGGAACAGTTGGGAGGTAAAAGGGGCCTAACACCTTACACCAGTTACTTCTTACCTGGAATTACAGAAATAGTTTTCAAAGCTCTCAATACTCTGAAAGTTCGAAGAGCTGAAAGATTGCCTAGGTTTACAAATTCTGTTACATACCTGTAGGATTAAATCACAGTTATTCAGAATTTAGGCAAAGTTTATGCTACTTACTCGGGTCTTTCATCAAGACCGCTTTGGCGTTTTTAGCAAAAACTTAAACAGCAACAGTCAGAGGTTTACCTTTCACTGCAGTTTGCCTTGCATTATTATACTTTCAGAGCCTTCAGCTAATTTAAATGTCTCTGAAGTGAATCACACTGATTTTACTTTGCAAGCCTAAAATTTATCTAGACTAGATTGGTAAGTTTGGAGAATGAAGTCAAAGGGAAGCTCCTTTTCTGCTCAGAAAAAAAAAAAAAAGCAGGACATGAAATTAGCCTCTCTAATACTAGCTGTACTAATGGCTTCTGCAGTACTTATGTTTACATTAAAATATGTATTTTTGAAAGTGAAAACAGTTTTAGACAAAAGTAAGTCCATAAAAAAATTCCATTTAACAAAATTGGTATGTATCGATACTAATTTCATGCCCTTTTTGCCCTTCTCTTTCCAAGAAAAAGCAAAAAACAAGAACTTACGCAAAGGTAATGACGGTGAAATCAAGCCAGTTCCATGGATCTCGAAGAAAAGTAAAATCTTCTAAGCAAAAGCCCCTTGCAATGATTTTTATTAGTGACTCAAATGTGTAAATGCCAGTGAAAGTGTACCTGAAAAATATAGGAAAATTTAATCAAAATAAGTAGCAATATTTTATATTTGTATTCTGACAGCAATGTGATGATCAAATGAAAGGGGTTTTTATTTCACAGCTGGAGAAGAAATACAGTAAATAAGCTATTTTTTCTGAAATGCATTATATTAATCAGATACTTCATGTATGTACATGAATTAGTTGTGCTGTTGAAGTAAGCAGTCCTGACCTTATACATAAATAAAAATAAATAAATCCATCAAATAAATAACGTACTAAAATTTATAGGTGACATTCAGTTTAAAAGTATGCAGTACTACGTCCTTTACTGTTAAGTGAGAAAGCTGTGAGCATAATTTACTGGATGCTGTCTAAGTAATGAACATGTAAAACACCTGGTATTGGCTCTAAGAGGGAAGGATGCAAGCATGCACTGAATTCTCATTCTCACTTTAGTAATACATTTGCTTGTATGCTGCTCTTAACTGACATGAACATTGAAGTGCCCATGGTTCTGCTACTAATGCAATGGTGTAAGGAAAGGTAAAAAAAATGCACAGGTGCTAAACCATGAAGAAAACTAGTGGAATCTCAGTAGAACATGATCTTTAAATTATTTTCATGGTTTTTCTACCCAATTGTTCTACTAGAATGAGATTCAAATAATTATTCGACATTTCTGTATAGTTCAGAGAGGAAATAGTCATAATGCTTCATGATAGCTCCTGCTAGCACATCTTGCACTGCAGTTGCTGGCATGGTAACTCCTAGAGGAACAGACAAACATATATTGAAATAATGTGCAACTTACTCTACATTCTTTGTCCAGTCTGGAGGGTTACTCATGGTCATAAATACACAGTTGGTCAAAATAGTGCACATGATTAGCATGCTGAATAATGTAGATTCAGTTAAGGAAAACACGGTAGCTATTCACACAATACCACATCAGTGCTGGCTTAAGTACAGTAAAATACTGCCACTTACACAAAACATTTAACTTTGGTAAACACTGACATACACTTTGCTTAACCTCATATTTTTCACTTTAGTACATTAGACTTTAATATTGGTCTCAATTTGCTGACACTCTGATGTTGTTTTGCTGGTGTCCTGATGTTGTTTTCAACCAGTCCTGAAAAGGAGATGGCTCTCACACCTTGGGAGGTAACACGAATTGAGCAACAGCCAAAACCAAAGTAATATTCAGGAGTATAGATTTTGCCTTAAGTACCTGTCATGACTGAATAAGTGTTAGTCTTTCACTTCTGCAGGCTTGGTACTAAAATTAAGAGTTGGCATATACAAGGGAAAAAGATTTCCGCTATCTACCCAGAGTCAGAGCTGAGCTGAGTCAGTAACTAGCACAGCCAGTCTGTTGAAAACACAGAATAAAACATAGAATAAAGTTTTTAATTGCTGAAGTGAGTGCATTCCTTGTTTCTCTAACACCAGCTTAATGTTTTAATCAGTGAAACAGAAATCCATAGAGAGCTCAGAGAATAATGTGAATAGTTTTCCAGTATTGCTTTTGGTTTCTCTCAAAACCCAGCAAAATCAGTGTATCTGTTTCTACTAATGTTATAATTAGAAAATGCTTCAATAGTTGCATCAATTGCTTGAAAAGCAAAGAAAACTGGTGAAGATTAGAATGAAATAAAATTTTATTTGATTTTCCAGCAAGGAACATTTAGGTACTCTGGACTATGAAACCCAGACTGACAGCTCAGAGGGGCTGGTTCTAGGCAGGTGAGACAATCCTCTGGGGCTTCCTGACATTCAATGCAATGTTCTTTGTCCACCAGATCACTGCCTCTTCAGACAGTGCAGTTCTTCCCGTTTTGTGGCCATAACCTCTACTCAAACTGAAATAACAAAACTAGACGAAGACCTGGCTCAAAATGGCCACATGATGGCAGCAAAAAATCATTGCTGCTACACATTTACACCAAATGGTTAACTTATTTTTCCTTTAGTCATCTCTCTAAATTATGTATTCCTTAAAAGTCATCACATCACCATAACTGGCAAAGAAAATAGTTTAAACTGAAGAAAGCTGTTTACAGGCTAAGCTTGTATCTGAGAGCCCATGATTTAACCCTTCTTTTTTTTAATCAAGTAGATAGCATTTGGTTGTTCCGTGTATTTTCATGCCATCGGCAAAACCAAAATGAAATAAAAGCCAAACCAAACCAATCAACCATCAGCACAAAACCCAATCTGAGAACCCGACCCTTTACTCTAGGTGCAGGAGGAATAAAAGAAGTAGCACCAGGATCTAAACTTCTCAGAAATTGCTGAAATCATTTAGATCTTTGCTTACAGTAAGTGAAAAATTCAAATTTTAGCATAAATTTTCCATAGGTACTCAAATTACAGGGAAGGAATTAGCTGCCTGATTCCCATAGACAGGTGTGTGCCCTTTGCCTAAATGGCTGATCCAGCAGTGGACATTTTGGTATATTTCAGTAAGTGACTTAACTAGTTTGGAAGATAATGTTGCCATACAAACTCCATAAAGTAAAAAGCGTTCAGTGCCTTAGAATAAATTATTAGAATGCCTTACAATGTTTGTCATCACAGTCCACAGACAGGTCTAAAGAACCTGTTTTAATTTAATTAGGGAATTCCTTTCAATATAGAGAATCCATTTTGGAATCCAAGTTGGAGATGCATGGCTGCAGTTTCAGTCATCTAATGAAAGACTCAGAGAAGTGCAAGGTCTCTTAGGAGAGCTGAGGTTTTACCATGTGCAGTGTGTTGTGTGCTTACAGCTCAGTGTCATGGTACCACTCATAACAAGGGCCACACGTAGGTCCTTGCACATTGCTCACTCTTTACAAAACTTGGCACGTCTGGGAGCCAAAAGTCACCAAAGTTCTGTTCACTCTGAAAGGGAGCAGATGTTCATTAAGAGCTGAAATACTTATAAATATAGACTCTGACCATTTCTCTTATGAGAATCTCAAACATAACTCTCACATTCAATGTCTTTGCACCTCTTCCGTCCTCTTCTGCATATTGAGTGATTGATTTACAAGCTCAATGTTCCCTTAATTTACTATTTTATGTTCTATAATAATTCAACTATACACATAGACAAAAAAATCTGATCTATGATGACTTCTTCTTGGAAAGATTTAATTCTTGGAAATGTACTGCCTTTTTCATGCTCTTCCCATACAGGCATGCAGAGGCACCACACAGCCTCAAGCTAATCAAAAATTACAGGAGTGGCTGAAGTCTCTTATCACCTGTGTGGATTGGTGGAAGATGAAACAACTGGAAAAAAAACCAAATATTGCCAACTGGTTTCACAGATACCATCTGGCAGTCAGGCCACACTGTGGAATACTGTAATTTAATCTTCCAGTGCCTTGCACAGGAGCACTTACACATTTTCTCTAGAGCACCTTCCCAGTTCTTTCTAACAGAAATCTCTAACACTCTGCAGCTCCAGCCACTGCCACCTCCCTTTTTTTGACTGCTCAACACTCTTACTTATTCTCACCTCTTCATTCTTTCCTATTAATTGCCAAAGGCTGGCCATCTCCACTCTTGTGCTGCCTCCTCAGTTCTACGTTCTACCTTAAGTTGAGTCAGGCAGCCAAAAGAAAAGAGAAGAAAAAAAAAAAAAAAGGCAGACTACCAGGAGATGAGTCAGCAGAGAGAAACTCCTGCTGTTGCCAGTTTCTGTATTCAGTATTACAGTAGGTACTGGCAGTGAGAATAATTGCAGGGAAAGTCTGTGAGCACTGGAAAGACACAGGTTCTATTTCTCTGCAGGACAGCAACATCTGCTCACATGTGTGGGCACAATTGATCAGAGCACCCTGCACAGAGGTTCAGGGAATTTGGAAGACAGACAGATGAAGGTTTTCCAACCAATGTGCTAGTTTCATTGTGCTCAACGCTTTTCTTTCACACTGAAAGGCACATTTCTGTTACAAAGGCCAAACACCTGCCATAAAATGTGGAGGAAATAGAGTTTATCTGTAAAAGTCAGAGGATTATTAAAAATAATAATCCACTTTACCCCTCATCTTTTTATGTAGGTAGGTAATCTTGTATAAGTAGCTGAGATTTGAACTGTAAAAATGGTTCTTAGTTTAAGCACTTTAATATTTGCAGTGTTTGTAATATAATGAATAATATTTTAAGAAATAGAAAATTAGAGAACCTGCACATCTGTACTTGTGTTTTAGATTAAAAAAACCAAATCCTATGCCTATATCTAAGATAAAAATAGCTTCTGCAATAGATGGTTGTAAGAAGAAATCAGTCCATATACTGAAAGAAAGCCTCTTCCTATAATAGAGTTAAATTACATGATCAGTTCATAGATGGAAGGGAAAATACTGAAATTACATATTTTCTATTGGAATTTCTTTTGTTCTTCTGTTATCAAGACCAGCTGGATACTCTTTGAAGACAATTGGGAGAAATTTAAAACCAAGACCAAACTCAATAACCAATATGTCAGTGAAAAGCATTGCCCACAACTCAGCCAGATGCAATGTTGGAAGAATTGCAAACCAGTGTCATGTGAAGGAATGAGAATTCATTGGAGGCTGAAATCTGACAGTATTTGGCTGTGTTTTCTCACCATTACCCCTACTGTGTCTGTAGGTCTTTGTCAGCTCCCTTAGCTACTGTCCCTAAATGCTCCCTAACACCTCTCCGGCCTGACACCTTTCCCTTCTCTCACACTGCTTTAACTTCCCAGGAGCTCAGAGTAAAAGGTGTTCTGAGCCAGCAACCATCAGCCTTGTTTCTTGCTTTTTCCAAAGACCTAGAAAATTCTGCCAGCAATCTCTATTAATAAGGCTTGTGCTTTTCACTACTTGTTCAATGTTACAAGTCTTACTGTCACACTGAAATTTTCATTTGATAACTACATTTCTCAGTCCTGAGGTTCTGCAAAAAAACCAAGTGCACCAAAGCCCCACCCACTAGAAATTCCCATCAGCCTGTTATGACCATCAGGCAGCAATCCCCCATGTCAGTCTAATACTTTACCTTGTGCACCATCCCATCAGTTATGGTCCCCCAATCTGTCCACCACCTGCATGTACAGATGCTTTGCAAACCGCCTGCAGGAATGCTGCCTATGCTTTCTGGCAATGTATTAAATTTGGCAGAGGTTTAGGGTGCAGCTGGGAGGGTTTGGGAATGTGAGAACCAGCATGCATGAGCCAGGCTTCTGGCACACTGCTGCAGCAGGCTGGAATGCTGATCTTGAGGACAGCCCCAGAAGGACCCAGAACCTTTATCTTTGATGAAATCGTTATCTGTTTTCTTCATTTCATTTTGAACAACCACTAAAAAAGGATATGAATGTACCAAAATTTTAATAGCTATTTTTCTAAGGGGGTTGAAGGGTGTTAAAATGTACAGGGCAGAGGTGGCACTGAATCGGAATATTGCCTTCCCTTTATTCAATACTATAAAGGTCTGAAAAAGAGAAAGAAGAAACATTTTATCAGAGTTTATTCACTGTAGATTCTCATTCAAAAACTGTTACAAGTAAGCAATCACCAAAATTTTAACTTTTTGAACATTTAATACACAAAAGCATAAATAATTTTTCAAATAAAAATTAATTCCAGTACTTACCTGATTAATCTAACATATGAAAATGCAATTAATTCAATTCATTGATGATTTTGGTTTACTTCTTTATTAAACAAACTCAGTAATATTCCTTTTCATGTGCTTCTTGTAAATAAAGATGCATAAATTATTAGCTGAAATTTTAATTTTATTTATGTTTTCCCCCAGAAAATTCTCCCTGTTTGAAATAGTACAAGCAGGGTGTGGTGGTGCATTCTCCCCCATTCCTTTCAACTCTGCTTGGGGACTTTATTGATATATTAGTCTTACTAACTAGAAATCCTTCTGGAAACTGATTTATTAGACTATCCACTTGTTTAATTTTTTTTTTTTTTTGTGCTAAGGAGAGAGGGAAATAGCAGCAATATACACAGCCATATTTAGGTAGGTCTAAATATGTCGGTGTAGGTCTCTGAGGACTGGAAATCTGAACATAACTAACTGGAGGAGAGCAAGAGACAATCCCAAATGATCCTCCTGCACAATTGTGGTTTCCAGGTGTGAAAATTCCCTGGAAAATACATCCTTTTAAAATTTAACTTTTAATATCTATGGAACCAATCAAATTTAGAGAAACTTGCAGGCATTCAAGCCTTACTTCAGAGGATTGTAGAAGACTCTGTAGGTTAAATGTCTCAAATAAATCCATGAGCCAAAGCTAAACAGTATGAGAGCAATCACTGCTTTCCTTCCACTGCAGGATATCACAGCTGCACCTGCCCTCACACTACAGCACACCAAATGTGGGCTGTCGGGTTCTTTTGTGTCACCAAGGTGCTCTTCAACTGCAAGATCAATCAGAAAAGAATGAAACACAGTGCAGAAGGAAGAAAGGTTCAGTAACTCAGAAGAAATCTGCATCCCGTGAAAGGGATGATGCAAGAATAACCTTAATTCAAATGAAATTAAAGGAAAGTGTCTTAAATTGTTGGGTTTTTTTTTCATTTTTTCCATTGTCAGAGTTGTATATTTTGCACATAAGCTATGAGAAAGCCTCCCTGATTTTTGTGAAGTTGCTGATGAAATGAGCTGTAAGCTAAAATTTCAGTGGAATCGTGAGCAAGGGTATGTTGGTTTCATCTGGTGTCCATGACATCAAGTATTGCTTCAAGACTGTAAGCAGTGAACTACATGACTATTTCCAGGAAGTCTGGCAGACAGGGAAAATATGCCAAGGAGGTTCAAGGAGGACAGTGCATCAGTCTGCTGAGATTTGGAAAATTTAGAATGTATGAACTGTGAAGTACAGATTCAAATGCCTAGAAGCACACAGAAGAGAGATGTGGAGATTGAGGTTTACTGAATGCAGAGGAGAAGCAAGGATTAAACTGTGAGGAAAAGCTGCTCCAGTCTCAGTGGCTTCTTGCCTGAGCTGTCCCTCCATTGCAGCTCTACACTGAACAGCTTCTCCTACAAACCAAACCCCTTAGGAGTAAGGGACTCTACCAGGCAGACTTTACACTGTCTTGAGTACAAACTCAAGATGTGTAGGAATGTATAAGATATGTATATGATTTCGCACTTCTGCACAGAAATGGAGAAACTGCATGTGAAGCTGAGGACAGCCTGAGCTAATGTTTTCAAATTTCACATCCAGTTTGGGCTTACAGGAAACAGCCTGCAGATGACCTGACCTTACACGAAGCTTTCATTTCAACTCCTGAAGCAACCAACCAGATGAATGACTTTTTGGCACAATGTTTTAAAGCCTCACACCCCAAGGGGAAAGGTGAATTTCCTCTGCCAGATCTGTCCCCAGGCCCTGGGACTCACATCTCATACGCCTCCAACTCATGCTCTTTTGATAGTTATGAGGTAGTTGACAAAATGCATTAAAAATCACACTTCCTACTAACTTTGTATCTAAGATTACTGCCCCTTCATTTAGTCAACCTACATTTTAAAAAACATCTTTGAACACAAGCATATTAAACATACATCTATTTTCTAACATGCCTTATGGAAAATAACAGCACGCTGGCACAGTTCCAGTTTCAGTTGGAAGCTGCTGCTATTTTAGCTGTTCTACTTTCTGCTGCCCTGCATAAGCAGAACCAACAAGACATAAATTCCCTACCTCAGTTTTAATTTTTCACTCAAAGCATCTTTGTGACTTGAGCTTTCACAATGACTTTGCTGGTCCTCTAACTTCTAGCCTTAAATATGAATTAAAACTGTACCTTATTTCTGAAGGAAAATTTTCATTAAAAAGTACAGGCAAGAGCTGATATAGAACCTCCCTGCTATGCCTGCTATATCTCACTCCACTCTCAACCCAGTTGCAAGCCAATGTGTAGGCAGTGTGGATGAACATGAAGTATTGTACCCAAAGCTGTCAGCACAAAGTAGACATACACTAAGAAAAGCTAGATAAATTCTAAACAAACTGTAACATGAAGGATTATATGTAAATTTCAGGCCTTTATGTTTTATTCATTTTTATAAAGGCACAAAACCGACTCACACTCAAAGTATTTGAGTGTGAATACAAATTCAGAGTTCCCTGAAAGGAAGTCCCTGATTTGCTGCTTTTGCATCTGTAACCTAAAACCCAATCCATCTTCTACCATATTTGAAATAAAACCAGAAACTCAATTCCTAGCAGGGCAAAGGAGGAGAGGAGTGTTTTGAGAAGATGTAGCTAAGAGAGAAGAGTCAACACTGAATAAAGATAAGGTCTCTGACAACCTCTTGAGATAAAGAGTTCCCAAAACCTTATTTCTCCTCTCCTTCCTCCTAGTTAGCTTTAAATGCAGTTTTGGGAAGGCTAGATTTAGTGCACTCTGTGCTACCCCACTGCATTTCCACCTTCTGAAAGACAGGAGCAGATACAACATTGAGCTGGGTCCTCAGCTTCTCTGGAAAAGCTCCTGCAGCAGCTAGAACAGGACACTCATGGCATCTGAGAAGTTTCCATTTCTTGGGTTTGTGGTTATCTTTTGAAACAATGTTTTCTAGCAAGTCCTTAACTTTTTTGCTTTGCTAGGACTTTTCACTTAAAAATTATTTCACAACTATGAAAATACCAATAGTGCATTCACCTTTGCTACTGTAATAAATTGAAAAAAAATTTACAAAATATTTTTGGGTCTTTTGCAACACAAGACACATCTGGGAAACCCAGATCAGATTAGAGACTGATGTCTCCTTTTCCAGGAGAAAAGGAGGTATCTTTGCTGCTGGCAAGAGGCAGGGCATGGAGTGGCAATAAACAATGTTACATCTCTATCACTGCAGGAGGAAAGTGAAGTTTTACCCACTTAGTTCCATCTATTCTCTCCCTCCTCTTTAATGTAGCAGCCTAGGTTAAGAGGAAAAGAGCCAGCCCTGAAAGTACAAAACCAAGTGGACCAGATTTTGATTCCTGCCCGCAGGTCAGGATCTTAGGGGATTCCAGCTGCTCTGTTCTCTACAGACAATGAAGTGAATTTCACTGATCCTTTATGATGGCAGCCTGAGCACGAGCAGGCAGGCACTGCTATAGTGGGAACACACAGATTTGCAGTTATACAGAAGCAGAACACAAAACATGAGTGAATTCCCCATTCACTTTTAATCAATTTTGGATTAAAAAAAAAAAAAAAAGAAAAAAAGAAAAAAGACCATTGCAACCCCTTAGAATTATTTCACAGTTCTAAAGACCAGTATTATTGGCCACCACAGTCAGCAGTATTTCAGTAAAATTAAATCATAAGAATAGGACAACATTATTCTATTCTTTTACAATAAAATACTTATGTTTCAAGGGTAGAATTGCTGGCTTTAAGGCTATCTGTGATACAGTGTAAATCAAAAATACTATCAAGTGTGTAAACCTGCTGTAATGGGTTGTCCTACTGTCAAACAAGAGTTGTCAATACTTTTCCTTTCAACTTCAGATTAGCATTGGGTACGGACATGTCATCTTTTATGGTAGGTTTTGCATAGAAACACACTTACAAAACCATAAAACTATTATACCTATTTGGGTTTTCTTCTCTTAAAAGATTTTTTATTTTAACTTTTCATCTCAAGCCTACCTCAGGCACAAATTAGGGCGCTCAAACCAGCTCAAAATAGGTATTTATTTCTGTCTTATTAGCTATTAAACTGCATCAAATCATGGCATGCACAAACCTTTTGCTCAGAAAAAGCAGTCCCAAGGATGGAACATAAAACACTCTAGATGACATTTAAACATTCACCACATGAAAAATACAGTGAGTTTGATCAATCTTGGTATAAAGAATAGGAAAGAGAATAAAAAGCAAGAGAGATGCAATATTTGCATCTAAGGCAAATGATGGATGACTTCATTCATGTCCCAAGCTTGTAATAAAAAAATATTCCTCAAATTCCAATACAGCTTTTCCAAATAAATACAGTGACCAGTGCTGTGAGCAACCATTTGTATTCCCTATTTGAAAGTTTGGAAGCCAAACTTTCTGGTAGTTTCTGTCAACAAATCAGCTATAGTTTATGCAGAGATCTTAATAGAGCTCTGAAAAAGCAGTAGCTTTAGGTAATCCTCAACACTTGCCCTAACCCGTTCTTGCAAATAAACATTTTCCTTTATTCTGATGTTTTTCATTAGATCCATGACATTTCATATGGATGCTTCACCAGGGAAAAACAGAACATCCCTAATGATTGTGCAGCAGTTGTCACGCTGTCACATTAGAGAAGGTGTGCTGATGGACTTCTTGGCTTAACAAGATGGAATTCACAGAGGGGTAAAGAAATGTTAAACATTACAGAGATAAATACATTGAGCATTCCTATGTGTCTTCCTAGAGATGTTTACTTCGTCTATGATCTTTTCTCAAATTATTTCTCCTTCTGAGACTTTCAGGAGCATCAACTGCTGCCAATAGTTTCAAAATACAAGTGAAACAAGACATAAGTATTTCCAGAATTCACACAGAGCTAGATAATAAAATTTAGAAATTAGATATTTTAAAGTAAAATTACAGGTGAAAGATTGAAATAGATGTTGTTTTTTCTGTTAGGAACATCTATTTTCCTCTTACTGAAGAAAGAAAAAACAGAGAGAATTGAAGCATTTGAGAATTTTTTGCCTTGTCTTAGACTGACAGGGCTGTTTCTATTTCTGTCCTGCAGAAGATTAAAGCACGTGCATAGAGAGAATATGTGGACTTCAGCAGAAAGAAGAGAATCCCAGAGGGTTCTGTATGTGTTTGGACCATACATATTTAGTGTGCAAATAAAAAGATTCTTCCTTTCAAATAGTACAGAAACTTGACTGAATATGCTCAGCTGGTTTCTCCCATTTCTTGCAATTCTATCACCAGACCTGGCTGATTTAGTAAGTTTTTGGCCCTTCACATTTGTGAAGGGACTGAAAGGATCTTCCATACCCAAGGGTTTGAGAGGCATATCTATTTTAACTCATACCTATCATGTAGCTGTTTTCACTGCCAGAAACATAAGACAGACTGATTTGGCTATAAAAGTCCAGGATGAGCTGTGGGCAAGTAGGGATAAAATTGCATGGAATACTGTATCATAAACAGACACAATTAGTACAGAATTCTACAAGGCCTGCTTTTATAGAAACACATCTTTTATCTTTGTAAAAGTAGAACTGTGATTTAAAGATAAATCTTCATATGCTGTGAATGGCAGATAAAGGCTCTTTCAGAGGCACTAGATAATAGAGATAAAAAAATTGTTCTTTCACACAGTATTTTCTCTCTTGTCAAAATAGGACTCATAAATCACATGAAATTTAGCAAGCTGAGACACTTAGAACACAGTAGTTTGTGAAAGTCAAAATAACTACTACCTTAATATTGACATTTTTACAATCACAGAATGTGTTAAAGTATCACCCAATCTAGCTACAGCTATCAAGCATGAACTTTTTCTGCTGCTTATAGGCTGCGCAACAGGATCATTCTAAAAGCATTCCACACCTGCCCAAGGCCAGTTTCACTAAAACTTTAAAATCAGTTTTTATACTCTTTTTGTTACATTTACTGCTTATCTGTTTGTTTCCCTATTGATTCCATAAATTTCCTAAGCATTTGCTATCAAAGCAGATTTCTGTGAAGGAAATGTTCTGTGCATCAGTTCATGCAGTCAGTTTTAAATCTGAAGAACCTTAGAGAATTTTGGTGTACACGGTATTAATGTATGTTCATTTTTAAGAAGTTCACAAAGTATATATGTATTATATATTCCCATTTGTATAAGTATTACGTATGGCTTATAATCAAAGATCACATATTATGATTCATCTTTGATATAAATGTTCCTTTGATATAAAGTAAGTTATATTAAATAAATAAATTTTGAGGTAAATTAAAAGAAAAGGGTGAAAAGCTAGTAACCATTAAGGCAAATGGATTCTGTTTGAAAATTAACATCCTGAAGTAACAAGCTCTATGATGCACTCCAAGAAAACAAAACGAGCATGATAATACACTGCAAACACTGGCACATGAACAGAATTGATATTAGACTCACTTTTTTATTGATGTAATATGGATCCATGTCTTCCAAGGGCTCAGACACCATTCCTGGAGGTATGTCACCATATATAAAGGGGAGTGTTTTTCCTGCCTCCAAGTCACTGTTTGGTTTTGGCCCATTTTCATCATCGTCTTTGCGATCTTGTTTAGGGTTCTTGGCTTTTTCTGCAGCAATGCGTTGTTCAATAGCTGCAAGAGACTCTCTAGTGAAGTATTGGAAGCTGTCTGGTCCTGGTGGTACAAGCACTGACTGCTCCATCTTTTCATCCTGCACATTTTAATTACCATTTATTCTTCTGCATAGGAAAATACTAAAAGAAAGCAGAAAATAAAATTCAAATAAACATGTTGATATCACCAAGTAAGAAAGATGTACTAGTTATTTTCAAGTGCAATTGTTTTTGCACTGCTGAATTGTTAAAATGCACAATTTGAAAATTATGTAAACAAAATAAGCAGTTTAGTTGGTGATTTGGCATTTGTAAGAAGCACTTGTGTTATTCTTACACTGGTTATTGAAACTGTTAAAATTTCTCAGCTTCAGGACTACAATAGTCTTTTACTCCAAATAAGGAAAAGTTAAGAATAATCAAATACATTCTTTCCTCCTAAGTCTAGTTATATTATGATTACACAGCTCTGGAATCAATCAGGATTACCTTGGTAACTATAAATAGAACAGTTGAACAGAGCTAACACAGAAAATTTCACTGAGATCAGCAAAAGTATCAGAAAACAAGAACTGTAAAAACAGAACTTCCATTTTAAAAAAATCAATTTGTATATTATGAAGTGTTAAAGTAATGATTCCAAATACATTTTTGTATGGGAAATTATTTTAGATAAAAAAGAGCAATTGCTGAATATTATTTCAGTTTAGCTGTTACCTGGTTCTTTATAAAATAGCTGTAACTGGAAAATTCTGGAAATATTCTAGTATACATATTTATTTATACATAGCAATTGCAAAAATAAACCTGTTGGAAAAAAAAAAAAAAAAAAAGAAGGAAAAAAGAAGTCCTGTTAAGACTATAGCTTTGGCATCTTCCATACTGCTGAATAAATTTCTGATGACACCAGACATACAGATGAAATGCATATTTGGTCCCACAATGGTGCATAAATCCCTCATGACTGAATTTAAAGAGGTAAATGCAGTTTCCACCCAGTGCAGAGATCCCTAGGAAATGATCAGTCAGCCTATCAAGAGACTCAAGGGCCAAGGCAGGCCAGTAGTCACTGAAATAAGCCAGAGAGATGGAATGAAAGAAAAGTAGGAGTATAGTAGCAGGTAGGGGGCTGGGGGGAAACACATGAAAACGAATTAAAAAGTGACAAAAAGCTCCAGGAATTGAAGAAAGATGCTGGAAATTAGGAAGGAAATAGAGATTAAAAGTGGCTCAAGAGGAGATTGTAAATGACTGAAGAATTAAGGGAGAAAAGAAAGAATGGAAAAAGATTTAAAAAATAGGAACTCTGGAGGATTAGCAAAATAAAAATGACATGAAAACAAAGAAAAATAAAACACAGGTGTAAGAACAAATTACTGGCAAAGGAACAGAAAGGCAAGCAAATACTAATAGGACTAACTTTCTACTGAGTAAATGTCAATATGGAAAATAAATTAGATGAGAAATAAAGGGAGAAGAAATAGTAAAGCTGGGAAATAAAGAAGAAGGTCACAAGATTATATTAAGTAATAAATTACAAATTCTCTTGATCAGTAGCGCCAGGGTGAGCACAACATCTTAATCACATTTTTGTAGTGAGTACTAGAATGTAGCGTATAAAACAAAAAAGAGGGGTGAAAGTGTTTATGGTCTTCACAAACTCAAATGTCTTGATTTAAAAAAAATGTTAAACCCCCCTTATATTTCACACAGGTTTATAAGATCATCACCCACAATTTGAGGAACGACTTTCAAACAATCAAGCTGCGCGTTTCTCACTGTAAAAAAAAAAAAATTACCACTAACTCCTCTCCTCTCCTCTCCTCTCCTCTCCTCTCCTCTCCTCTCCTCTCCTCTCCTCTCCTCTCCTCTCCTCTCCTCTCCTCTCCTCTCCTCTCCTCTCCTCTCCTCTCCTCTCCTCTCCTCTCTCTCCTCTCCTCTCCTCTCCTCTCCTCTCTCTCCTCTCCTCTCCTCCCTCTCCTCTCCTCTCCTCTCTCTCCTCTCCTCTCCTCTCCCTCTCCCTCCCCTCTCCCTCTCCCTCTCCCTCTCCTCTCCCTCTCCTCTCCTCTCCCTCTCCCTCTCCCTCTCCCTCTCCCTCTCCCTCTCCCTCTCCCTCTCCCTCTCCCTCTCCTCTCCCTCCCTCTCCCTCTCCCTCTCCCTCTCCCTCTCCCTCTCCCTCTCCCTCTCCCTCTCCTCTCCTCTCCCTCTCCCTCTCCCTCTCCCTCTCCCTCTCCCTCTCCCTCTCCTCTCCCTCTCCTCTCCCTCTCCTCTCCTCCTCCTCTCCCTCTCCTCTCTCCTCTCCCTCTCTCCTCTCCCTCTCTCCTCTCCCTCTCTCCTCTCCCTCTCCCTCTCTCCTCTCCCTCTCTCCTCTCCCTCTCTCCTCTCCCTCTCCCTCTCCCTCTCCTCCAGGATCACCTTCTAGCTCAGTGAATGTCCCCACCTGGCATGCAGGACAAGGATGACCTCAGGATTTACCTGCAGGTGCACAGAAACAAAATGCTTCACGGCCATTAGTTATGTTGCAAAAGATTTGATTCAGCTACTGTGTTTATATACCAAGTTTCAAATCAGCAAATGCTTTGGGCTTTTCTAATAATATGTGTATTTCTTTATATAGAAAGGTACTCCACGTTATTTTTCTATAATTAATCCTAGAATATTCTCTAGTCTGTCAAATGTGCGTGGAGCTAGCTAGCTACACCTTTAGATGTAACTAAATCTAAGTAGGATGTACTTAACATCTTTCAGGAGGCTTTATGAAGATTACCTACTTTTTATCCTCTGCTTAACAGATTAGAAGATGATATTCCAGATACCCCTTCCCCTTCTTCATACATTTCAATGATTATAAGTCTTCAGAATTGCAAATAGAAATCTTCTATAAATTTAAAAGTCAATACTAAATACATACAGAATTTACTAAAGTTTAAATCCCAAATCACTTTCATTGCTCATATGGCAGTGCTTAACTACTAGGTTTGTCTTTCCTTTACAATAGTCAGTTGATTTACTCTCACTTATATGTGATGGGGATGGATAAAAAATGATACCAGACAAATTAATCTACTGCAATCCTTCTGGTTTCCACCAAGTGAGTTATTAAATATTAATTGAATAACTACAGGTTGCTTACAGGATCCAAATGGGCTTCTTTTTTTGTTTTGTTTTTTCTTTAGCATAGCACTAGTCATTCAACATAGGAAAGACTATAAGAATAACCAAAATATTAATTTCTTACTAAGTTGTTTCCTACTCTCCTATATGGAATTAGATTTTTTTTTTTTTTCTTTTTCCTTCTACATTTCTATGTCTGAGTGACCTTCTTATGAGCAGTGCAAAACATTTCAGATTTTGGAAAATATGATACTCAGAACATTTGAGAATAGAATCATTGTTTCTTCTGATATTTCCCAGGCAAAATAGATTCACATATACTTAGTGGTATACATAGTTGTAAGCCAGGTAACTGCAGAGCTCAGCGTGCAGGGATGGGACCATCTGCAGACCACAAGCAGAGTAAGTCAGGAGCTGTTCAGCTGCATGTGTGTAACTGCACAAAGCACAGCTGATCTGCCTACGTGTACCAAGTCTGGGGCAGCCAGAACTACCCTGGATTAGCTGTGCACACACACACACCAGCTGGGTGATACACACACAGTCACTGCCCTCCTGGATGTGAGCTACTCTACCATCGAGTCATCTTACATCTAAGCATTCTTTGAGAATAACTAAGCTATCAAACACCCATAGAGCATCTATGTATTTTTATAGTCTTCAAATTTCATCTGAATAATTTTTTCTAGGCAAAGTAAAGGGACATATTGGAAGTAGATACAAAGATGGTGCCTTGTCAAACAATGATTTCAAATCGGTTACACACTGCTTCTTGAAAAAGTCAATTAAACAATACATAACTCTCAGAAATAGAGACAAGCTTGAACAAGATTATTTCCTAATCTGAGATCATCTAGTTATTTCAGTTTGCATATCCTTCATACCTTTATAACAAGAGTTTCTGGAGTGTTTGGTCAGGAGGACCTTAGTGTACATGTAGAACTACAGTGATGCAAATACTTAAACTTCAGCAAGTGAATTTCTTTATATTATCAATACCCTCAAATCCGAAACTGAAATGTGCTTTGATGTTTCATATTCTGGTATAAAAGCCACTAATTAAAATTTAACTACTGCAAAATAAAGATAAAGTAATGAATCTACATGTAAAGTCACAAAGCCCAGATCTCTGTTATAATTTGCATCATTTATTGGCACAGTTTCTCATTACTTTTGATTTATCAATGAGTCATTAGGATTCTTGTCTTCAGCATACTGAATAAATACTATTTACCTCCCTCAAAGTGTGGATATGTGGGAAGAGAGGAAGAAAGTTGTGGGAAACCACTACAGTTTGTACAGGCAGCGTCAGAACTAAGCCTGTGTCTGTCCTGTCAGTCTCAGTTATAGGGTTACTGCAAAGGTAGGTAGGACATCCAAAGCAACACACTTGGCAGAAGGGCAGGAATCAGGTTGGAATATTGGAACTATACAACTTTTTATGATTCCCTGTAGCTCACATATGAAATTAAATTTAATTCTCATGGACAGCTTTATACGGGAAACTTGCATTTTACCAGACTGATAATAGGATTCTCCCATATCTTTTTTTACCATCTTCTTGATGTTCCCTCTCAGCATGGATAATGCAGATCTGGCACAAGGGCTTGCTTGCATTACATTACTTAGACTTGGATAACTGCATTTATTTAATGCATATTAATTTTAAATAAAGGGTAGGTGCAGTAATACTGCAGACATCAGAATAGGGTACATAGATACGCACTGAGCTATATAAATAAATTATCTGAAATATTGGAAGCAATCCAACAGTACATACCACCTTAAGTGGAAGTTATGCTTTGGAGCTGGATATTTCCATTACTTAACCTGACACACAGAAAGGGTTGCTGAAGGGGAGTGATGGGGGGAGAGGATGACTATTTAATTTGCCACAGAGTTGCAAACAGCCATGGGGTAGCTCTGTGATTCAGGAAGGTAATTCAGTGCTCAGTCAATGCAGCCAGAAAGCAGAACAGACAGGGATAGGAAATGCAGCTCATGTCTCTGATACCCACACTGTTGTACCATTGCTTAGCTTACTGTGCAGGAATGAAATCAAGAAAAATGGGATAGAAACAAGGTGTGTAAGAAAACATGGAATTGGCATCTTAAAGGTAAGCTTTGATTTGGGAAGGCGATCATGGCTTCTGATCCATGGTTCTTAGAACCATTTCTCTATTATGCCTAGTAAATTCACTTGAGAAAAGTCAGTTGAAAATCACCAGAGATATATTAGCTGAGAAAGAAATATCTAGCACTAACTATGGGAAAACAGGGTTTAGTTATAGTGTTCACTCACAACCAATTTCTTTAACTCAGGAAGAAAATACAAGCATAAGTTTTGAAAAATAAAGCAAAGTAAAACAAGCGAGCCTTCCCCAACAAGATAACTAGTCAGCAAAACCCACATGCTGGTATAATCAGGATGCTCCCTGTGAGCTGTTTGCTGCTACCTTTTCTCCCACTAACACCTAGATTTTCAGTCCTGTTCTTGTGTCTTGTTCAGAGGAAATCAGAAAATTATATAATGTAGACACAGTATATTATCCATCTCTATTAGTTATATATATGTATGCATTGTTGAATTGCTATTCCCAGCGTATTTTTAAATTCAACTAATATATCTCTTAACCAAAATATAGCTACTAGGCTTGGCTTTAGATTAAAAAGAAATAGCTTGCTTCCGCTTACTGCTTTGTTAGTCTAATTCCAAGTCTAATTAACTGCAAACAAATCTTTTCTACTTTAGACAGCTAAAAAACCCAAAAATAATTATGCAGTTTCATAGAAAGAAAGAAAGAAAATATTTTAATGGGACAAGTCATAATGCAACTGCATTAGTACTCCATTTAAGCAGATGCATTTAATAGCTTAGAACTACTGGACTGCTACCAAGCTGAATGGATTCTCTGCTTACTTTGTTCCTGCAGCATATCTTGTGCAGCAAATGACTGCAGTACAGAGAAGCAATCTTTCTGCTTTCCTTCATTTGATCAGGGCACTGGCCCTTTTTACTGACAATCTACGTTACTAATTCAAGTTTAATTTTCTTAAATATCTGTTTCTTAAACATCTGTTTATATTTACATTAGCAAACGTAACAGCATTTTCTTCAGTTAAAAAAATAAACAAAGCCATGTAGGCTATGCAGTGTACATTACATAATGCTACTGATTCATTTGATATTAAGCTAAAATTGAATTTAAGACAAGATTTAAGTTCTGGTCTTGGCATATTGCCACACTTAGGAAAGAAATAAAAGCTGATGGAAAACAGATTGCTCCATACCCTGGAATGATGCAAAATTTGCAGAACTAACAAACCCAAAGACATTGCCATACTCAAATTAGTGGATTGCCTGACCCCATTAACAGCATTCAGGTACTTGCTGTCTCATATGATCAGTGGAAAGGCCAGAAGCCTGAAAGACATAATGACAAAAATTATTTACTTTCTAACAAATTTAGCAAGCACAGATTTCATTCTTGAGGTTTTCCTGGGTCAAGGAAGCAGATGCAGGAAGAACAGGAACATGTTTAACACACAAGACCGCAGAGGAAAAAAAATCAATCATAATTAAGGAAGCAAAAATTTTCTGTTTTTCATGCACAATGATGGGGCCACTCGAAGTAATAAACCCCCCAAATTGTAGAAACTTGTACTTTTTATACAGCATAGAAGTCCAGATATCATATGACAGCAACGTTTGAAACTTTACCCCGTTGCTTTTACACCCTTTGCACTCAAATCACGCCCCAGGACATGTCTGTGCGGACAGGAGGCAGCAGCAGCCCCAGCATCCCGTGTCAGGAGCTGGGGATCACTGCTGTTCCTGCACTGCAGCACCCAAAGGAGGGATCCATCCCACAGACTGTGAGAGAGGAGAGTGCTCAAGGAATGGGAGATGCACAAAGGAACTCTTCAGCCTAGGGAGCTCTACTGCCACTGCACAACTTAGGGATGGTTCTGTGGCCTCAATCCTTTCTGCAGCCCTCAGCCTGTCTCAGGTTTTATGAAGTGCAACAAATACACTACATGTGAATTAAGTGTTTTCCAAATGAATTAGTACTCTATAAGCTAATGCCATGCAGCAGGTAACACAAGTCTGTAAATACAGGACATTTGCATTTCTGTTTATGTGGGCAAGGCACTGCGCCTTGGTCACTGCCATCTTCTGATCCTGCTAAGGCAGCTCCTCTGCAGTTCTCCCCTCATGTCCCTCTGCATTTTGTGATTCTGAACACACAAATCACTTGTACCAACAATAAGAGGATTCTGGTGTTTCCTAGTAAGCTTCTTCGAACTCAATAATTACCTAATAATATGTGAGAAATGGCTTATTCCCGGATTGGCAAATTCACTTTACAGTAGCACAATTAGTATCTGTTCTTACAGATACTATTTTAGTTCACTTTGAAAACTATTTTATATATTTTCATATAGTACTAAAAATAAAAATAAAATTTTAAAAAGTCACATCACTGCTGTAAAGAAACTTCTTCCAAAACACAGACCTGGTAAAAAACAGACAAGTAAATAACTCTCACCTATATCCTGATTAGGTTTGAATTGATTTTGAACAAACTTTGAATTAACAATGATAGTCCAATGTAATTTTGGAAAGTTTTCATTCAGTGGACATTCATGAGGCCATGATGTCCCAGCCTTGTGTCCAGGTATGTCTATACATGATGTGGACTAGAGACATGACAATGCTCAAGCCCTGGCACCTTGTCCTCAACAGGTAGGATAGCTGCAGAGTTCATTTATTCTATTGAATATTAGATATTTAGCTTGTTTTAAGATCTAAAAATCTCCTACATGGCACTCACTATTTTCAGTTGCATAAAGGGGAAAACAATCTTGAAAGCTCCTAGAAAAAGCAAAATGTTTATTGCTATTAAATGGTTAACTAGCAGAAGCAGAAACATCTGCTGCCTCTGCCCCATCCTTTGAGCAATGTGTTATTGGAAAAAGGTTCAGATTTGCCAAGAAAGGCAGGACCTGGGAATTAGTAATTCTGCAGAAGCAGCAGTTTGAAAGCCACTGAGTGAAGACTTAGCCACACTGACTTTCACTTAAAAACAAAGATTTTAAGGGTTTTTTTGTCTTCTGAGGTGCTGGTGATTTACCAGTCATTTAATATTTTATGGTCTAATAAATGTTCAGGATGCTAAGTTGATTTTTGATGGAAGTGTATATAATAAATAATCCAGTCAAAAGCCAAGAGCAATACAGTTATAGGCTAAGAAATCTAGTGCTATTGGAACTTTGGAAATTTTTTTAATCCTATGATTGGTCAAGAGAAACAATTAAAGAATTATGCTTCTTTAAAATAAATAAGAATACATTATGTGCAGGAATTTCAAATGTTTAGCAGCCCAGAACACTTGAAAATGAATGAACTTAATGGTATAAAGTATACTGAGAAAACAGACAAGATGTGAAACTAAGATAATATTACAAGATATCATCTGTTATTCAAAAATGGAAAACGGTTAATTAGAAATATCTGAAATATTTATATATACTTATAAAGAGCATAAATGATAAAAAATTTTGAAACATCCAGTCATTCATATTCTGAGCCACTGTCTGGTAATTTTCTGAAGATCAGATAATCTGCTAAAAGCAAGGAACATTTACTTTATCAAATACAGTATTAAGCTATGTGGTTAGACATGGAATTGTAGTGCACATTCAGTAATTATTTCTCAAATACAGGTACAGAAATATAAAAAAGGAAAAAGGTTTGAGATCTGTACATTTTACAAATATCACTTGGTGCCCACCAAATGTACACAAACTACATTAATGAAGATAATGAAGCAATAAAGTATTTAATAAAATTTTCTATCTTGTATTCCACCTTGAATTCAAACTGATAGATTACAAAGTCTGTATAATGTGAATCTGTTCAGGTGGCTCCAGGCTCCACCTGTAAGATAAGAACTCTAGTAGGAGAATCAACATGATAAACTGAAGATCACAGCAAACAATGTCAGCAAATGAGACCTCTTTCAGTCTCAACTTTTCTGATTGAAAAATACCAGATTTCCCATTTTGTAGGATTTGTGATAAGTGATTGAAATAATTTCAGCTATTCTCATTCAAAACCAACACTTTTGTTTTTTTCATTAATTGAAAATACTCTTGCATTTGTGATTGAAACTGTGTATTGCTGTTCTGAATTGTTGGTTTTAATGTTGTATTAGAGATTAAAGTGTTTTGAAATGTTTTTTCTAATTAATAATTTTTAGTTTATAAGAGTGAGTTGCAATGCCTTCTGGTATTTTGGCACTGGGTGTCCAGGGCAATATCTGAAATAGTTTAAGGATAAATTATAAATTAGTAATAATTCCCCATAACTCATTACTCCACTAGTAGCAGACCAGTGTGAAAGTTAGTTCTAGGCCTACCAGATGAGAGAAAGCTTTAGCCACTCAACCTCCCAGAGTTAGGTATTGATTTACAATACATCCAGCTGAGAAAAATTAGGAGAAACATTCCTCAGCATGTCATGTTTCTTGTCTGATCAATGCCTCTGAAGACAGGGCACCATTTCCTACCACACCAAGAGCTGAACAATGTTTCTGCACATACTGTATGTACAATCTAGAAACATTTGTATAAATAAGCTTACAGTGAGAAACCAAAGTAGGAAACTTCCTTTTTTAATAACCATTTCTCAATGCACTTGAGCACAACAATGGAAGATACATAAAAGATATGAATATCCAGTTATGAAGAACTAGACTTTAGTATGTTAACAGTGAACACTGTCAGAGAAGAGATCAATGTAATTTGTGGGGTCATGGCTCTAATGAATCGAAGGACATTTAAGTCTGAGGGAAACACGCACAGTCAAGAAGCTTGTGTTTCATTCATTGTGAGTCAAGGACAAATCGGGGACTTAATATCATAGGTGGAAATTACATCAAACAGATTTTAATTTGACTTTGAGGAAAGAGCCTATGAAAAGTATAAATACAGAATAATTTTCAGTACTTAGCAATTTTGAGTAGGAGCTGATTTGTTACACCCATTTATGTTTTCCATATTTATTACTCTTAAAATTTCTTGTTTTCTCTATATTTAAAATTTCATCAGGAAGTATGAAAATGTCATGAAAATTTTTGTTCTCCTTTCCTCTCTTACTTTTCTTGCTCAGACTTTTTTCCCTCCATGAAATCTTTTTGTCTTTCTGGCAAATCCATGGGGGAAGTGAGCTTAACATGGTCTTTAAGTGGATCCTACAGAATGAGATGCCAGCTCCCTCCATGTCTGAGCCTTCCCAGGCAGCCAGGCTTGCTGGAAGCTGAGTGCTTTGGGAGTGTTTTGGGCTTGATGGCATCAAGGCTGGATTTGCAGGTAACGTGGTTGTGAAGTTAGGCTTTCTGTGGCTCAGTGATGAGGGAATTCTTGGGGGAATTACATGCTGACCACAGAAGCTTGAAGCAAGCCAGCAGGTGGGAAGTGGTGCATGTATCTAAAATATTCCGAATCCCGCTAAGGTCAAGATAAAAATTGTTACCACTGTAAAAGACAGTTAAAGCCAAGTAAGAATGCAAAGCAAAAGACAATTTTTCAGTGAAAACGCCATGATGTGATTTGTAACAGGTGGCCAAAGTGTAAGACTGTGATTAGGCACCTTAAAAAGACTATTTCCTTAGTGACTGTGTCCCTTAAGAAGAAAGGACCTCAGTGAGAAAGTGCAATATATTATATAATAAAATCTTAAGATGTTTTTTTGAAACATGAGCACATAGATTTATTAGCTGCAATATGAAATGTTAATATTCTGTTTTACTACCAATTTTGCTCAGCCTACATCTATACTATATTTGACAGTGCAGCCAAAACTGTATTCTATCACAAGCAGTTCTTGAGGCAACATGAACCTGCCTGTACTGCCTTTTACAGGCAGTTCTTCTGGACTTGGAGACAGTATGCTTTCAAACCTCCAAATCTGCAGATGTCTGAGCTTTTCCAGCAAAGCCCCTCTTGGGTTACTTTTGATTTTGTGCCCTGAACAGCAGACAGGCATGTTCACTGTGCAGGTAAATGGGTTTACACACCTGTAAAGTTTACCTTTTCAGAATATGATCAAAGCTGTCCAAACCACATGAACCTTGCTGAAAGTGGGAAAAATGGATAGCTACAGCTATTTTAGTCTCCAAACGTCTTTCAGACTCATCTCATTTATCCTATATGTAGTCCAATTGACCCAAGTTTTAGTTCCTTCAGACTTCCCTCTGCTGCCATTGCTGGTGAAAATGCCTTCAATTCCTAGATGGAGTGATTCACCCCAAACTATGAGTGCTAGCACAGTAGCTCAGCACATGAAAGGCAACCAAGCCTAAGGGCTGCTGAGGTTAGTGGAGCCTGTGCTACTAGCAGTCATAATGAATCTGACTCTTA